GGGTGAAAAATAACTCCCATGGCCTGACAGCATCTCGTTTCAGTGCTGAGCATAAGTTTTGTCTAAAGAGCCAATCTGGAAACAAATGCCTAATAGCTTGCCAGCATGGAACACAAAGGCAATTTGTTTCTGCCTTGTATAACCCATTAAAGCATTGGCTACATAAACCATGCCATTAGCCAGCTTTTTCCTACTGGAAAAGTGGCATGTGTTTGGGTGTGTGTATTTTCATTTTCGTGTAAAGACAAGGGCAGCAACCCACCCAACTCATTTGCGGTGTGATGCACCTTTTTGTGTATTAGATGACAACCAGTACTTGGGGTCAGAAGCACACTCTGGCAACTAGCTCAGCTGGTGCAGAATCAAATTTTATGCTCTGACCGCAGTTCCCCCTCAAGCAAGCAGAAGGCTGCATTCGACAGTAGCTGAAGCTTCCAGATCATCTCTGTCGGCAACCCCATGCAGAAGACATTACAATAGTCTAGTCTGGATGTAATTGTAGCATGAATGCCTGGGGCAAGATCTGCTTTCCCCAGATGGGGCACAGCTGGTGAATCAGACAAAACAAATTTCAAAAATGCTCCTGGTCACCAATGTCACCTGCACCTTAGGCTGAGAGTGCTGAGACCAGGAGAAGGTGAAGGTAAAGGACTCCTGGATGGCTAAGTCCAGTCAAAGGTGACTATGGGGTGTGGTGCTCATCTCGCTTCAGGCGTTTGTCCACAGACAGCTTTCCGGGTCACGTGGCCAGCATGACTAAACTGCTTCTGGCACAACGGAACACTGTGACAGAAACCAGAGCACACGGAAACACCATTTACCTTCCCGCCTAGCTTTCAAACTGCTAGGTTGCCAGGAGCTGGAACAGAGCAACGAGGGCTCACCCCCATTCGTGCGGATTTGAACCACTGGCCTTCTAATCGGCAAGCCCAAGAGGCTCAGTGGTGTAGACCACAGCGTCACCCACATCCTAAGACCAGGAGAAACCCCAGGCAGCACAACAAATCCTCCCAGAGAAGTGCAATACCATCCAGTACCAGTTTTAACTCTCCACCAGCTGTTTCCTCATCCACAGTACCTCCATCTTATCAAAAACTACCTGTAGCCTCTCTGGGAATAGTAGTTGAGGGAGAGAGGTGTTTGAGATGTTTGGATGTTAGCTCAACCCTCTGGAATAATTCTTCCAATGGCTTTATATAGATATTAAAGAGCACGGGGAGACAAAATGGAACCAGGAGGCATCTCCCACAGGCCAAAGGCCATGGGTGGAACAGAAGCTCCCCAGCACTACCTTCTGGGTTCATCCCTCCATGAGGGACTGGAGCCATCATAACACTGTACCATTCCAGCCAGGCAACCCAGAAAGATACACAAGCCAATGATACCAAAGGGACCAAGAGTCCAGGAGAACAAGGTTGCACTGCCTGCTTTTCCAATCAGTGCATGGCAAGGCTTCACTGACGGAATGAGCAGACTCTTCTGAAACTGCTTTCAGCAAGGAAACTTTTTGAAATACACTAGTCTGTGGAGGTAATGCTCTGCTTTGCGAAGGCAAACCTTGCACCAGACATGCAACAGTGTGTCAAGGAGCGTTATGCTTGCTTTCCCTAATCTTTTGACTTCTTGGCTAGAAAACAGGGGTTTTCCCCTGACCTTTTTGTCCTTTCACAAATTGTTTGCTAGACATAACGCTTGGCTGGAGCAGGGCAGGGAACGTAATCAAGTATCGGGGGGAACATTCAAGGGAAGCACCTGCTGACGCGTGTATTTGCTAACGCTGGAAATGTGCTTAGATGGAAATATGCTAAAGGTCAGAGTGGACTGCTTTCCAACTGTTGATTTTTGCCAATAAAAGAGGCTCTGCAAAGCTTGCTCCTGCACAGCTCACTCGCATCCAACCTTGTGTAGTCTCCGTTATTCCTACACTAGTCTCTCTCACTTTCTCCCCATCTGCACAACTGCGGCTGTATGGGTTAGATGTTCTTGCTTCGAAAGATCCAAGCCAGCAGTGTCACCAAAAGGAATACAATAACCTCAGCAGAATAATGTATGAATCCTAATCGATGAGTTCATAGGACATCAGCAACACTTTAAAAAAAAGTATTTTGTTGATTTTCAGTTACGAATGAATTTGATATAAAAAGGAGAAAATAAAATAAATGATATCAGCAATAACAACAACAGGTTGGAGTACAGAGCCCATGATGCCACTGCTCAGGTGGCTCCACAACTCTGCCCCACCACGTGCCCCACTCTTGCCCCAAAGGCAATAGCTACCATCTCACCTGTTGGAGGCAGTATGCCCCTGTACACCTGTTGCTGGGAACCAGGAATGGGGAGAGTGCTATTATACTCAAGTCCTCCTTCTGGGTTCCCACTAGTTGGCCACTGTCAGAACAGGATGATGGACTAGAAGGTCCTTTGACCCAGCAGGGCTCTTGTTATGTTCTCAAGCACAGCTGTCCTGGTTTCGCACCACTTCTAGTATCAATAAGATAGGGTTTAATTGATTTCTCTTAATTCCTCTGCCCCTGAACAAAGACTTTTTTGTCTGAATTTCAGATTTATTTACAGGATAGCAAAGAGAGGAAAACAAGCAAACAAAACAAATGCAGAACAGCGAATAGGTGTTTTACAGCATCATCTACAGGCAGAAGTCGTGAAAAGCAAGCAACTTGCGTGTTTCATATTCAACAAAACAGCTTTCTAGGGAATTGTTTGAGTAATAAATCCATTGCTGCTTCCACTGTCCCTCAGGTTTGTGAAGATAAGATTCTCCTACTTTATGTATAGCAGGTGATATCTAATGTAACAGAGCTGGTCCATTGGTTTCAATGGGTCTACTCTGGGCATGACTTTGTTGGGTGTCACCAAATGGAGGAAAGGTGTCATTTTAATGTGGTTAGCTTGTTCTTTCCTTAATTCTGTTCTATAAGAGTATTAAATAAGCGTTGTAAATAAGGGCACACAGGTTTGTTTCCTTCAACAATACATGAAATATCTTCCTCCCATTAGCACTTGGATTTTCTTCTTCATATCTGACATGCTTTTGTAGGACAGAGAATTAGAGGTGGGATCAGATGCTACAACAGCTCCAGGATCTGGAGCGCGGTATCCAATGACATCCAAAAAGCAGGTTCTTTGGGGGAATCGCTCATCTCCTCGGCCCCTTCTTCTGCTGCGACCCGCGAAAGGCGGCGAGGTAACGGCAAACACTCCTTCCATTTAGCTGCGTTACAAGCCTAGACAAATCTCGCCCGATTTAGCACGGTCGCCTATGGCAAGGCGGGCTTAGGCAAATAGTAAAACGAGGACTTTTTGATTCGTTTTTCTGGATGACGACGCTCTTCCCCTTTTCTTGGCATCGCAGCGTCTTCTTTCCTTGCATTCCGCGTTTTATCTTTTCCCCTCGGCTCACTGCCGTCTGTTACTATGTAAAATTCCAGCTTGGCTGGAAACCTCTAGCATCGTACGAACCCGCCCCCCTCACCGCATTGAGCGAAACGCACTGGGCGGGTTATGGGAAATCAAATGACGTGTTTCGAATAGAACCGGGATCGCGCCCTGTAATCCAATAGGAACCTGCGATGCCCCAGTAACTCCCGCCCCTCTTCGACTTCCAGCTGCTTCTTGCCGCCAAATTTGAAACGGGGAGAAAAAGGGCGCCGGCGGCTTCTTTCCAGCTCCTTGTGGGTCCGGGATATCCCTTTGACGTGAAAGGCGCGGTCTCTCCTACACTCCCCTTGCCAGCGCGCGGTGGGTGGACTGGGAAGCTCGGGTAAGTACCGGTAATTCCCTGCTGCCACAAGTGAGGCTTGGAGTCGCACCCCTCCCCCATCCCACTTTCTGGCCAAATCCCAGGAATCTGCTTGGATTGCGCTGAGGGCCGGATTTAGGTTTGATGAGGTCCTAAGAGCTACTGAAGGTAATGGGGCCCTTTGTATGTCCAGCTGTCCTTTGTCAACAACAAATTGTCGCTGTTTTTTGTGTTGAATATATGCTATATGGTAATTTATGGACCTAATAGGTATCTCAAGCCATTTGCACATGCAGAATGTAGGCACCCTACATATAGAAACGAGCAAAGCAGTGATATTTTAGGGAGCAGGCTAGCAGGCGGGGCCTATTACTTACATCATAGGAGCCTACACAACACAAAACACTGTTGCTGTATGTAGGTTTTATTTTATTTGTTTTTTATCTTATATTTCGGAAATGTATATCCAGTTCTTTTCCTTTTAATTTTTTGGGGGGCCACTACCAAGAAGGCCCTCTGCCTGGTTCCCTGTAACCTCATTTCTCGCAGTGCGGGAACCGCCAGAAGGCCCTCGGAGCAGGACCACTGGCGGAGGAAGAGGCGGGGAGTGCACTGCCCCCCGCAACACGATCCCAGTGGGGTGCCATCGCGACTGCCCCCCCCATGCTGGGCGCCACGCCCCCACATGCAGCACATCACGCCCCCAGGATGCGCGACACACCCCTGTGGGTGGCGCATCACGCCCCCAGTTCGCACGCCAGCCATGCCCCTGCCTGCTCTCCGCCCCCCCAGTGCTGGAGCACTCAGTGTCCAGGCTGAACGATGGGGGTGGAGACACTCCTTCAGGTATACTGGGCCGAGGCCGTTTAGGGCTTTAAAGGTCAGCACCAACACTTTGAATTGTGCTCAGAAACGTACTGGGAGCCAATGTAGGTCTTTCAGGGCTGGTGTTATATGGTCTCGGCGGCCACTCGCAGTCACCAGTCTAGCTGCCGCATTCTGGATTAGTTGTAGTTTCTGGGTCACGCTGGAAGTTTGTATTATATGGTAAATATCTGAGCAGTATGACCCAAATAGGTTTTTTTTGTTGCTGCTGTTGCAGCTGTTGTTCATTGTTATGGTGCATGTATCATCCATTTATTTAAAAAAAAAAAATAAAGTGTTAAAAAGAACAAATAACTGCCAATTCGCTGATCTCTGAATCTGACAACTTCCCCCCTTAGCTGTATCTGCTTGAGTAAACATGGAGTCTCATATCAGGAAGAGTTCCGTTAAAAGAAAGAGTGATATCCGGCATTATCTGAAGGTAAGCCTTATTCTGAAGAGGGATTACCTTACCTCAATCTTCCAAAGAACATAAGGGGTAGTTACTGAATATTTTTATTTGCTGTCTGTAGAAATTATTGCTGGTTAAATACTGCCACTGTCTACTTCTGTTTAATAGCCTTTGTGTGCACAATTGAAATATCACCTCGCTTCCATCCAGCCCTTTTATGTTGGGTCCAGGGATTAAAGCAAAGCTACACCCTTGCACTGAGGAACAAAACCACACAGGGCCTGTTAGATGCTTACTATAAATTGGGGTATTAATATCCCAAGATTGCTCTCTTTTTGCCCTGCCCTTTTCATCCTACCCTTCCTTGTGTCCATTTGAGTGATTGTCAGTGGCTGCTGGTTGCTGGACTAGTAAGCAAAGGTCAGCACCCACCCTATGCATTTCACCTGCATGACTCACTAACTAGCATAACAGTACTAACCAGGGCGGATCAGAACCTGCTTCTTTTACTTTTGAAGGCGGAGCAGGGCAGGGGAACATTGTTCAGCTGAAAGGCTACATGGTGGTGGTAGGCAGGTCTGGAGCCCCAAAGTAGGCAGAACATCAAATGTAAGTTTAACCTTTGCATAGCTGGCTAGTTCCTCCACAAACTCACACACCCCTCTATCCTCCATTGAGGCAAGCAAGACACGTCAGTAATCAAGGGTGCAAATCAATCTAACCTGGACGGGAATAACATTTGTAATGTCCCCTGCTCTGGCACTGCTGAGGGTAGAGATAATCCCCACTCAGAGACCATCAAATGAAGATCTGTTAGCCTTTTTATTGACTGCTGCATGAATGGAAATTGCTAAGTGCTAGAAACCGAGGAAGGTTCTAGTATTGAATCTTGGTACTCCGGAGTTTGGTCAGTTGCATTAGCCAAAATACTGACTAATAATAATGATAGTAATAATTTATTTATTGGACTCTGCCCATCTGACTGGGTTGCCCCAGCCACTCTGAGTGGCTTCCAACAGAATATAAACGAACACAACCAAACATTAAAAACTTTCCTAAACAGGGCTGCCTTCAGATGTCTTCTAAAAGTCAGATAGTTGTTTATTTCTTTGACATCTGATGGGAGGGCATTCCACAGGGCGGGCGCCACCACCAAAAAGGCCCTCTGCCTGGTTCCCTGTAACTTCACTTCTCGCAGTGAGGGAACTGCCAGAAGGCCCTCAGAGCTGGACCTCATTCCAGCCAGGCAAAAATACTAAAAAGAAGGTTTCAAAGCAGGCCTGGTGAGGGGATGTAGCCTGGTAAGGGCCAAACAGAAGGGCTTGGGGGGCCTCATTTGATCCTTAGGCCTAAGATTCCCTATCCCTAAACTAGAGCTTAGCCATAGGTTTCCCTCCTACTGTGTGCAAGCAGAGAGGGGAAAGTCCTTGTCTGACGAGTCTTGTTACCACAGAGAAACTGTAAAAAAAAAAAAAAAAAGCAGTGAAAGCTCCTGTTGGACAGCACTGATGATGAAAAGAACGTTGAAAGCAACACAGAGGAATCGGGTTGTCAAACTATTTCAGACCCCCCCCCCCCAAGTGTCCCTATTCTCCAGGGACAGTCCTGGATTTACAGAAGCTGTCCCAGTTTCTGATTTGTTTCTGGAATGTCCCACTTTTCCTTAGGATGTCCCTATTTTCATCAGAGAAATGCTGGAGGGTATGGAGTTATGTGACCCCTGAGCCAAGGAGATAAGAAACTATACAACCTTTAGAAGGCAGCCCTTTATAGGGAAGTTTTTAAAATGTTTAATGTTTTAATGTGTGTGGGAAGCTCCAGATGTTGTTGTTTTTGTTGTTGTTGTTGTTAAATAGGTTGTCCCTATTTTCATCAAAGAAATGTTGGAGGGTATGCTATTTGTTTTCACAGTACCCCCTTTGCCTTTCAAAGCTGCATCACAATAGAGTAATAAGAATAGCTTTCCTCACCACAATCCTGTGCGGATATGTTTATGCCACTTGCATTGTTTGTCTAGACGTTTTCAAAGACATGAGAGCCTTGCTCTATGGCAACCCCATACATGACCCCTTTCTGTTGGTCACTTATGGAAAGCTTGCTGGCGTGGACCAGGAATGTAGTAACATTTGTTGCCTCTGGGCCAGATGAACTGTAGCATAACTGGCTGTGGACACAAAGGAAACATGGTGCTACTCATGAGTAGCAGCAAATGCAACAGAGTTACTGTGACTCATTAGGAATCAAGTCAGAGAAGGTGCCATGCCACCATATTTGTTGTTTCCGTATTCTGCCAGGAGCACGCCTGGCAGTAGCGCTGCGCCTATATTCTTCAGGCCTCAGCCTAGCTCCCCACTTTTCTCTTTGTGTGTGTTCACTGGTATTCCTGCTATGGTCTACATCAGGCATAGGTAAACTCGGCCCTCTAGATGTTTTGGGACTACAATTCCCATCATCCCTGACCACTGGTCCTGTTAGCTAGGGATGATGGGAGTTGTAGTCCCAAAACAACTGGAGGGCCAAGTTTGCCTATGCCTGGTCTGCATGTAAGCAGCTACCATCTGCAAGCATGCTGTTTTTTAAAAAAGAAAACCACAAAGAAAATATATTATTTGTTGACTTCCCCCTTTTTTTACAGTGCGAAAATGAGGCAAGCCCAAGTGTCAAAAGACTGAGATCTACAAATGCATCCACTCTTAAGAATCATCCTACAAGAAATACTCTTCCTAGCAGTGAGAAATCAACAGGTGAAGAACGAGAATTCACTGTGAATTTAGCTGGTGATGGGAAGGATCACGTGGTGAAAGGCAGTCTCCATGACAGTGTGCTTTCTGCCCTCAAGGCAACAAAAGATATTTGCACCCGTATGGAGAAAAGCAAGGGCAAAGAGATCTACCTTATAGGGAAGAAGGGGATTGAGGGTTGCATTAATCTGGGGATGCCTCTGAAGTATATGCCAGGCGGCTCCCATTGTGTAATGAAATGCTATAAGGTTCAGCAACTTGAGGACTCTGCTGGCTTAGGGTATCGCCAGCATGAAAACAGGGAAGAGGAATGTATTTTGTTCTTCATTGACCCCAAGCCGACACAAAACAATAAGTTGATTAGATGCAGTCAACTTCTTAAGGAATACTGCAAGCTGTGTGTCTGTGCACCAAAAGGAGAAACCATAAAAGATGCCCTGTGCAGTGATGGTCGTTTCACGCCTGAGCTAAAGGAAAAAGACTGGAGACTGATGAAGGGTAGCAAGGCCATAGCTAACACTCATTCAGTTAACAATTTATCTGACAAGACCTTTTATGTGGAAATGACGAAATCTGCTAAATCTGGTGGCGGTGCAAATAGCCAACAGATTCCCCAGGTGCCTCATGGGAGGCAGCTCCAAACCTGTCATTATTTTAAAATTGATCTCCTAAGCTTCTATCCTGGCTTAAAGGATCAAAAGGAGATCATGGATAACTTCTTTGCAAAAACCAAGGAGGCACAGGAGCATAAAAGGGAGGTCCTCAGAGTGTGCAGAGCAAACTATAACAAGGAGATAAGCAATGCCATAACGGTTAAGATGTTAAAGAAGCAGGCAACTCTCAGTCAGTCAGTTGGGTACATAAAGTGGGGCATTTCCAGAAAGGAGGGTGAAGCTACTTGCTTTGTGTTGTGTAATAGCTACATACTAACTTGCCACCATGTGGTAAGATCGATCGTTGGAGAAGGGATTGAAGAAAAGGAGTGGGCATCCAAAATCAGCAAGGCAGCCCATGTAACATTCTCCTATGAAGGCGACCACCCCAAAGATGAAGACTTTTTTTCACTTGAGGAGTGGTTTGAAATATATGATGTTGTTCTTGATTTTGCCATCCTGAAACTGAAGGAAAATGGAAACAAAAGTAGACTTCCTGCAGGCTTGGTAAAGTTATGTTCCCCTCCACCATTTGATGGGCTTACTTACATCATTGGTCACCCAGGTGGAGAAACAAAGTCTCTGGATGCCTGTTCTGTTGTCACTGTGTGTAAGCGTCAGAAGGAATCTCTTGATCGTTGGCAGCAGGGTAATGAGGCAGAACACAGCAACACCAACTGTGGTTATGATCCCAAGAGCTGCATCCATATGTTCAATCCAGGAGTTTTCTTTCCTGTTTTCAACAACCCTGATGTACTCACCTATGATACATCTTTTTTCTGGGGGTCTTCAGGTTCCCCTGTGTTTGATAGAGATGGCCAACTTGTTGCAATGCATGCTGCTGGCTACGTTTATGGAAACAACTCCAAGCAGCGCAGCATAATTGAATTTGGCTATTTGATGACGTCAATCCTCTCAGTAATTGAAAAGAAGGATAAATCTTGGTATGACTCTGAAATTGGTCCTTTCCGACAGGCTTCTTATGCTACAGAAGAGGCCACCGTGTGTGTTGAGCCTATGGATGTGGATTAAAAGATCTATGTTCTATGATGATCCTTCAGTCTGAAATTTGGAAGATATATAGGGCCTATTAATTGATTAAATTGCATTTTGCATTTTTAAAGATAGTTACGCTTCATTACATACGCTTTTAAAAACATGTATCATATATCATTTCAAAGCAGTGCCACCCACCCTAACTTGGACATCCAATTCAGAAGGATAACATGGTTGATGGTATTGAAAGCCTCTGAGAGATAAAAGAGGAAGAACAGAAAGTCAGTTTCTTCCAAGAGCACCTGGATCTGGTCCACAACCTAATGAAGAACCTTGCCTAAGAAGGGGAGATTGGCAACTTGCTGATAATTACTTAGATTTTCTGAATTCGGGGAGGGTTTTTTAAGGAATGCCCTTGCCACTTCAAGAAGGCATTAATCACCTCCCTGACCCAGCCAGCTTTCTCTTCCCTGCTAGCTTTTATCAGCCCAGAGAGGCAAGGGTCTAGAGTGCAAGTGGTCACCCTGACAGATCCATGCACCTTGTACGCATCCTCAAGCCTTACGAACTGAAACTCATCCAACATAACAGGACTAGAGATTGCTCTGGACACCCCTTGAGATCCAACTGCTGTAACAGTGGAGTCAAGGTTCCAGCAGATTCAAGCGATTTTTATCCTCAAAATACTTCACAAACAAATCGCAGCGAGCTAGTGTCAGTTCTGCTAGCTCCTTTGTGCTAGACTGTAAAAGGCCCCATACTACCTGGAAAAGCTTTGTCAGACGGCATGATGAAGATTCAATGGAGTCAGCAAAGTATCAGTCGGCTAAATGATGAGCCTTCACCAGTGTTCAATTGCATTCAAGCCGTCTTCCCACTTGTCTCAGTGCTCCAAGCTCTGGAGAATACTAGGGAGTCAAGTGGACTCCACAAATTAATATATTTGATGTAGTAGCTATTATCTGACTGGCTTTCAACCATGCCTATATCCCACAGTTACCAGGGTTGTTGATAAGGGTGCAAAGAGTATGAGTGAGATTTAATGGTTGTGTGGATTTAGGAAAATCATTGTAGTAGAATTTGTGTTGTATTAATAAAGTAAGTAAGGAAATTACCCCATTTTCCTTGCCACAAAGTGTGTTGACAAAAGAAGTGAAATGAACTGAAATAAGGGGTGAATACCAGGCTACTACATGATTGCTTAGCCATGTATATTGGCTACACACTCATTAAAACCTCCCCTCACACTCTGCTTATATATCTCTTATCCAAAGGAAATAAAAATACCATTGAATTTCTTAACACTTGGGGAATTGGAATGTGCTGTTAATTATTTTATAATTTCTATATAGTGTTTAGAGTGCATGCATAATCAATTTGCATATATTATGTCATAGTTTCACTTATGATTTACTGGGGTTCTTTCTGTCCTTTGCTTCAATCAATAAGACTCTGAATTCCTTGAACCAGTGTGTTCTCAACCAAGTTCAGTTGCTTTCAGTTTATTATCGGTAACAGGAACTTAAACAAGAAAACTTATTGAAGATGTACAATATGAGCAGCACAGATTCTAGTAGCCCAGAGATGAAAAGAAGATAAAGTCCCTACCAGAGAAGAATGGCAAATCAAATTGTTGGACTATGTCGAAATAGCAAAATTGACCCAAAAGCTCAGGAACCAAGAAGACCAAAACTTTGACAAGGAATGGGAAAAGTTTATAATTTATCTTGGAGACCACTGTAAACAGATGTAAACATTAGCAGGATTGCAATAGCACTTGTAATGTCTTGGGTATTATGGAGAGAATGACATTTTATTTTGGTTTTTTTTAAATGGAGTATAAAAAAAGAGGCAGTAGAAAAAATTTAATAACAACCCAGAAATTCGATATGTTATTTCTATAATTTTATACTTGTAAAATCAAATAAAAATATGTTTAAAAAAGAAGACATACAATATGTACCCTAAGCTGTGTTCCATCTTCCTCTGGAACTAACTTTGATGTAACTAATGGTGCAGACATGGGTCTCTAGTCCAGGAAGAGTCACTGGATGCAGGACAAGTGCAGAGAAATCCTGCACAAATAGGTGTTTAAAACATGCCACTATATCCACCACACAAGCAGCACAAACAATTGGCAGTGACTGATGCCCTCCATTAATTTGTCTAATCCCATTTTGAAGTAGGTGGCCATTCCTATAACTTGTGATAACGAATTCCACTGTGTGAGGAAGTATTTCCATTAGTCTGCCCTGGATCTTCCAACATTATGTTTGTATGGTTCTCACATTACTGTGGCAGGGCTGGCGTTTATGCTACCCCATCTCTTAGGGGAAAGTCTCTGACTCTGGGGACGGAGAGTTATCTACATGGTCCCACACCCCATAGTGAAGTGGACTGTGCTTAGCAAAACTCCAATTCACAATAAACCAGTTCCATGGGATCCTGGCATGTGAGAAACGGGCGCCTTTGCATTTTAAAAAAAGTGCCACAGTGCTTTCTGAAGTCACCCAGTGTGTGCACCTTGGCTTTATTCTAGAAATCAAGCTCCCGAGACTAGCCATCAGCAGTCATGGCATGAAACACGTAACGTCCATTAACAGTAAATCACAGAGTTAAATGGCTGTCTTCTTTCATTAGTAGTTGCCTGAAATGACAAGTTTTTTTTCCCTTCAGTGGTTGGCCTCAAGCCTCTCAGGAGCAGAGTGTGTTTTGAATTCATCAATAGCTCACCTGGCAACATCACCACTCACAGAGCCACGCTTAGCGAAAGTAAATCAAAGAGCTTGTTTCCAGGACATTATTTCATTGCAGTGATTTTTACCGTTGGCATGTTGAATTAAAGTCCTGGCTTTGAAGTCCCCAACATGGGGTTCTGCCTTGCCTGTTTGAAGGCTCTCAGCTGTTCACATCAACTCTTGCTTTGAAGTGAACCACTGCAGTTTCTTACTGAGACCCCACCTGTGTTTTATTGACATATCCTGAGGATAATAATAGGTGGTGATATTATCTTTATAGAAAATGTTAAAGGAACTCATTCAGGGTAAAGCTGCCTTTTTATTGTAGCTTTATTCAGATTATTTATTAAATTTGTATACCACCCTTCATCCAAAGATCACAGGGAGGTTCACAACATAAAAATACAAAATGAGAACACAAAATACATAATAAAAACAAAAACCGATAATGCCCCTCCCACAAACACACATTTTATTATTTATTAAATTTTAAGCATTTCTTATACTTTAAACCTGCAGGAATTACAGAACTGGGGTTTATCAGTTGCTTATTTACTAGTACATAAGCCCTAGGCCACAGCAAACATCAAGATACAATAACATACAACTTTATGTACAGTAGTTAAAAATGTTTCTAGCCGATACACTCAAAACTAAATGGCCAAATAAATCAGAGAGGTAATAAGAGAGAGAAAAAGTAATGCCAAATGATGTGATACATTTCAGGTTCATTACTATATGGATGAAGGATCTGAGGTCAGCTATCCTTAGTCAATGGGAGAATTTGTGACAATCTGCAGAGATGCACATATCTATGATGGTGAGTTTAGGGTTGGAGTAACTGTAACTTGAATGGCCTATGTTTAGAAAGAAGCATAAGAGATGTCCAAGCGTACTACAACTCTAGACTGACCTTTCTTTTAAGTTGACTGGAACAGCTGCCGCGCAGAATCTTGTATGAAACAGCTGTGGTACAGCGGGAAGGCTTTCCCCACCTCGCAGCTAAAAACAAGGGGGAAACACTTCATGGCTTTGATACTGGGGAGCCTTCGGATGCAATGCCAAGAACCATGGAAGCTCTGGTTGCCTTACCTTTCCACCCTGAAAAGGCCTCTTGTACTGTGCTTGCATGTTACATCAGCTTCAACCAAAGGAAGCTGATCCGTTAGAGCAATGGGGGAGTGTTATAAGAATTTTAAGGTCTCAAATACAGGATAAATATTCATAAATGCACACATATCTGAATATATGAACCATGTGCCTGAAATAGCAATCCTGAAGCCATTTTGACTCACCCAATGACTTCAAATATTCCTCTGCAGAGGGAGGGCAAGTGGGGAAATACGTTTTTCCTCCCAAAATATGTTTGTGCAATTAGATACTGTATAATGTACAGTGGTATCTCAGGTTACGAACTTAATTCGTTCGGGAAGTCCATTCTTAATCTGAAGCGTTCTTAACCCGAGGTGTGCATTCCCTACATAGGCCTCCTGTGGCCCCGGAAGCGAATTGCATTCGTATCCCGGGGCAAAGTTCGCAACCCAGGACACCTATGTCCGGGTTTGTGGAGTTCATAACCTGAAGCATTTGTAAACAGAACTGTTCATAACCCAAGGTACCATTGTACATGAAACTCAGCAGTAGTAATGGCTGATTTTGTGCATTATGTGAAGAGTTGGCTTTGAACTCTCGGGATTGGAGAAGGATTCCTAATAAATAATTCTACTGTTTACGCTTTCTAGAGACATGCTAGCTTTTAAAACTGTTAAGTGCTTGCAATATGTTATCCAAACATTTTCAGGTAAGATGCTGGATTATGGCTGTGATGGGAAAACACTTTCCTTCTCTTGTTTTTCCCCTCCTTTCCCTGTAGTTTGTGGTTTTGCCTACAACATGAAATCGTCAGATAATGAGTTCCCCTTCCCTCCTGCTCCATATTGACTACTGCTGGTGGGAAGCAGGGAAATATCTATAATAAAGAAACATGTGTTATAAGAATTCTAAGGTCCCAAATACAAAATAAACAAGGCGAACAGATACATAAGTACATAAACCACATGTCTGAAATAGTACAGGAGAGCAGTCTGAAGCCATTTTGACTCCCAAACCATTTTGACTCTCAAATTGACCTCAAATATTTCTCTGCAAGGAGGAAGGAAACAGGAAAGCCTCTCCATTGTCTTTTGCTTACCTGTCTTAAGGGCGTATTTGTATATGAATAGAGCGAACCTGTGACCTGGTTTCAGGAATTAAAGTATTTACCCTCACAAAAGAATGGCCAGGCTGCTCAGGTAAAGCAATCAGTGACCATTAACAGATATCCTGACCACATGTATATATTGGAGTCAGGCATGCACTGAATTCATACTTAATGATACAGTCATACCTCAGGTTAAAGTTGCTTCAGGTTGAGTACTTCCGGGTTGTGCTCCACGGTGACCTGGAAGTAACAGAACATGTTACTTCCGGGTTTCGCCACTTGCACATGCGCAGACGCTCAAATTGACGTCATGCGCATGTGCAGAAGCGGCGAATCGCGACCCGCAAACACACACAGATGCGGGTTGCGTTCTCTTCAGGATGCGAACGGGGCTCCAGAACGAATCCCATTCGCATCCAGAGGTACCACTGTACAGCCTAACTGACTTCAAACACTTGATGTGAAGTTAAAAATGGGATGTGTAAAGCACTTTGTACACGGAAAAGTGCTTTTGGCATAATTCCAAATAAAATATTTCTAGATCATACTAATATGGCCACTAGAATTTTTAGCTTCCTTGATTTGCTTTGATCCAGCCTCTAAGCAATGACCACAGGTGGTTGTTGTTTTTTAAAAAAATTGGAATTGGCTTCTACACTAGCAAGATAGATTAGAAAAAGGTAGAAGTGTCATATTTAGAACGAACATTGTGGCATCCTTAAAAATTAACAAATTTATCATGGCATAAGCAAATGGACTACACTCCATTTCATCAGATGTGTGAATCCTGAGTTATAGCGTACATATGTCCCTGTAACTCAGGATAACACTTTTGAAGTATTGTCACAAGGAAGGCTTATGCCGCAATGGTCTTTAAGGTGCCACAGCTACGCCCCTGGAAAATATCAGAAAGCTGTGCTTTTTAGGAGAGAGGACTAACGTTGCATTTTAAAGTTACAAAATTATTTAACAGGGAATGACCCAAAGGAATGCTTCGTCGCCACTGCCTCCTCTGATCTCAGCTGTGAAGGAACTACTCTCACATCCAATTGCTTCACCTAATTTTCCTCTCTGCAAATGCTGGAGGGCACTAGAGGCTGCAGTGAGGAGCTGTGGCAAATCAGCGGGCCTGGCTGGAAAGCAATGGCACGGGCGATTCTGCAGACGGGCCTTTCCTCGCATGCACGTTCTCTTGCTTTTCCCTTCCTCTTCTGCTTGCTCGTGGTGGCAAGTGCCACCCCCCTGTTTTGCGTGCGATGGTTCAGTCCCTCCTGCCGCTGCTTCGTTTTCTACGGTCAGCAGATGGCGCCCTGATGCTGGCCAGAGGGGTGGGCTTAGGGGCGGGGGGCCGAGCATGAGGTAATGGTGGTGAGAGGAGGAGGAGGGAGCTCGCGCGCTCGAGACGTCGCGTTCCCGGGGAGCTCGTGCTGCGGCTCCTACTCCAAAACCTTGCTAAGGCAGGGAAGTTGTAGCGGGAGAGGCTGCGGGTTGCAATAGGCAGGAGTGAAGTGCCCGTGCCGTGCAATGGGTGATTGTTTCTCCGCTGTGGAAAGCGGGCATCGCGTCTGGTGGAGGCTTGCATTTCTCCTGCTGTGCCGAGAAAATCCCACTCACCCGGATTCCTCGTAGAAAGGAGGCAGGCAGAAAAGCAACAGGGAGGTGGAGCTGGAGCGATTGCTGCATCTAGTGCACGGGGAGGAGGAGGAGGGGGGAAACTAGAGCATGAAATTCCGAGAAGGGCTCGCTGAGAAGGATCCCCCGTGCAGCTGCAGAGAGGAAAACAGGAGGAGGAGATGCAACTGGTGTAACTGAGTCACCCTCCTTTCGCTGTAAAGATAGTGAGACATTCCCCTCGGAGCCACTTTACAGAGCAAATGACGGAACCTGCTTTTCCAGCTCGCTGAGTGGATGGATCCTTGTTATTTTTTAAATGCATGCATTTTTATAGGCAGTGAAGCAAGAGTCTTCAAGTGGGTGGGATGAGAGCTTTAGAAGCCTTTTTTAAAAAGGTGCATGAAGCGAGCAGAATCGAGGCGCTTGTGAACCCGCAAAGCCCAGCTCTTCGCTGCCAGGGAGAGAAAGGGAGAGATTTGACAAGAGCAAGATCTGGAACTGATCCAAGAAGCAGCCAGCCAGCTAGTGGCCGTGACGTTGCAGAGTTTAAAGGGGGTAGATGAGACCGATCGGACGCTGACCGGGCGAAAAGGGGCTCCTCCGGGCGCCGCTTGGGATCGGGAGAGCTTGCTTGCTTGCAGGAGACCGCCACCAATATGCTGCTGGCTTCGGCCGTGGTGGTTTGGGAATGGCTGAACGAGCACGGGCGCTGGAGACCCTACAGCCCCGCCGTCAGCCACCACATCGAGGCGGTGATCCGATCCGGGCCGAGAGTCGGGGGAAGCGTCGTCCTAGGCCAGGTGGACAACCGCCTGTCGCCTTATATCATCGACCTGCAGTCCATGCACCAGTTCCGCCAGGACACGGGTGAGTGTGCCCCGGCGTGGCCTGGAGCGCCCACCCCACCGCGTGGCCCGGTAGCCGGCCCTCGCCTTCCTTTCTCTTCCCCGGCCGGTCCCATCTCTCCCTCCCTTGCCTGACAAAAGGCCACACCGGGGATCGAACCCCTGGGATCGAGAAACGTGGTGTCCAAAGTAATCTAGGTGGAGATCCGTGGTGGGATCAGCCCCTCGATTGGCACGGGAGGGGAAGGCGGTGTAAGAGAGGAACCGATGGGGAGGCCGGAGAAGGAGTCGCCCGAGGTGGGTGCGCGCGGTACGCTGGCGTGGCACAGGTCCCTAACCCGCCTGGCGACTGCGAAGGCAGAAAATGAGACGAGGGAGCTCATCTAAGGGTTTCTCGGCCACCTGGATGTCTTCGGAGTTCCTCTTTAACCTGGGCAAACCTTGTACTTTGGATTAACGCGAGTGCAAGTTTGGGAACTGCCTGCGTAGCCCAGTCATATTCACAGCCGAAAGTGCCGTTGCTAGTTGTTCTCAGGTGCCTTGCTTAGCCTTCATGAACTCCCAAGCGCTTGCATACCTGCAAAGGAAAAGCAAGTGTGCGACTGCGGGGTGGCAAGGGCTTTCTGGGCCACAGGCAGTATTGGGAGTTTACTTGGGAGTAAACTCCATTGGGCTCAGTGGGATTTAGTCCTGCGTAAAAATGCATAGAATTGGACTTGCGTGTGCCTCAGAACAGAGAAGAAACATAGTTGGATCACCTAGGTCCAGGGAAGATTGTGTGAAGATTGGGGGAATAATATGGGATATATTGGAACTTTTTAGGTACTGGGTCAGAGCAAGACCGAGCAACAAGGAAAACCAGAATTTCATAATAGCCATTCCCCAGGAATCGTGAAGAAATATTATGTTCACTGTACTCAAAATCTTTGCACTGCATTTTAAGTGGTCTGGAGTCAGTTAACCCCCCCCCCCTCTAAACTAATGGAGTTTAGAATATCCCACTTCCCCTGTAATTGTGGATTGACAGGCAGTGACAGATAGTGGTTTACTTACCCAGGATGATTAAAAGGTTGTTAAAGAGTAGCAACAAATCCGAGTGAAATGAAACTGTGTTTGCACCCTGAGGGTTCTCTACTCCTCCTTCACCCTGGAGTCTTGGAAAAAACAACAACCCATATGGCTCTGAGTGGATGGATGTTTACTACTGGTTCTGACCAAAATAAATGTTTAGGGACATTCATCAAGGATATATGCTAACCTTTAGAATTCGTGTGTGAAAAATGAAAGTTATTTCCATTTTCTGTCAGTTGTCTGCTTTCTTTCAGTTTTCTTCTGTCAGCTAGGGTTGGGGGGGGGACCCACAAGGCTGGAATAGTAGTGTGATATTGAATAGCAAACCAAATAAAGTCCTGCTGATTGGCAGGGTTTGGAAACATTGGTTGAGATGTGGGTGGTGCTGCTGCTGCTCTTGCTCTCCGCCTCCCCCTCCCCCCCTTCATAAGCACCTTGATCAAAGGATTTACCGGAGGGGCTGAATGCCGCTAGTTAAAATGTTCTTGAAATACCTTCAGTGATGCAATTGCAGTCTCATGATTGAAGGGGGGGGGAATCAATTGTAGGTGGAGAGAGAGAGAGACTGAGTGCTGTCTTTGCTGACAAGAGGAAAATACCCTGGGAAAGCCATCAGCCTCCTTGGCTGGGAATCCCGGTTTGCTACTGCCAGTGAGCTCACGTCAAGAAGAGGTAAAGCTATTGGATCAGGAGGAGAGCTGGGAGGAGATAACAGGTGAATCAGGCCACCACAGTGCATAGGAATGAGAGCCTCCCCTTCTGGTGCAGCAGACTGCATTTTGGATAGACTGAAGCTAGATGAGGGAGGAAGAGATGTTGAAAGCAAGACAGGAATTGAACAGGAATATTTTAGGGGAGGATCCTCTAACTGAACAGAAGAAGGACGAGAGAAGGAGGCTTACAGCTCATCTGAGGGCAAGGGGGACACCGCAAGAGATCTACAGTCAGATTTCTAACTTTGGGTACTGAGAAGCTGGAAATATTTCTAAATATTCCATTCAAGAGAGCTCTGAAAATGTAATAAATCAGCAGCCGATCCTATGGCCATTTGATCTGCTCGCTCCAGGGCTGAAGTAAACCCTGTATCTGGTCTGTCATTTTGAAGGAGTGTTTTCCCGCCCCCCCATCATCTCTAAGTATATTTTACCTTCAGTTTATTTTTAAATAAAAGTGAGATTTTTTTATTTAAAAAAATGACAGTATGAAGAGAATCAAAATCAGTGGAGTCCTCTAACACCTTAAAGCAACCTTTGCCAACCAGGTGCCCTCCAGATGTGTTGGACTGCCATCAGCTGCTAGGCATTGTAGTCCCAAACCTTTGGAGGGTAGCAGGTTGGTAAAGGCTGCCTTAACAAATGGCACATACTGTATATATTGTGGCCTAAGCTTTTGTAGTTCTTCGGACATACATTATTGCCTTTATCCCTCTTTCCTAGCAAAAATGGTTTCTAAAGCATCTTACAGATATAAAACATAGGAAAATACAATAAACGAATGAAAATCAGTTTAAACACAAGAACAAGTAGCTTAAGACTTAAATAACTTCACAGTCACTCTAAAGAGCAGGTACCCAAGTTATGAAAGGAGATTCTGACTAAACAGTTTCTGATGCTAAGAGTTGGTTGACACAGTGGCACAGACTCCCACAAGAGGTTGTAGACTCTCCTTCACATTGGAGGTTTTAAGTTGAGGCTGGATGACCACCTGTCTTGTATGCTTTGTACAATTCTGTGATTCTATCCTTTTGAACACAGGTAAGAAGCTGACGGCCCAGGCCTCCATAGGACCACACAGAGGGTATCATTACAAATAGATACATGTACAGTGGTGCCTCGCAAGACGAATTTAATCCGTTCCGCGAGTCTCTTCGTCTTGCAGTTTCTTCGTCTTGCGAAGCACGGCTATTAGCGGCTTAGCGGCTATTAACGGCTTAGTGGCTTTAAGAAAAAGGAAACAAACTTGCAAGAACTCGTAAGACGTTTCGTCTTGCGAAGCAAGCCCATAGGGAAATTCGTCTTGCAGAACGACTCAAAAAACGGAAAACTCCTTCGTCTAGCGAGTTTTTCGTCTTGCGAGGCATTCGTCTTGCGGGGCACCACTGTAGTCTTCATAGTAGGGACTCTCAAGCTGAGCTTTAATGCACTGTGGAGAATATACATCCCCAGTACATCCATGACTGTGATAATCATTCCTACAACAGCATCATTAGTAACTATCTGAAGGACTTCCACTCTGCCCTTTCTTTCTTGGTGTCCTGTATGCTAGGAACTGCCTTCCAGAACACTTGCATGATATCACTTCTCTTACTTCATTTAGACATGTGAATCCCAGGTGAGGAACTGGAAGCCCACATCCTCACTACAATTTGTGGGGCCTTCCTATCTAGCCCACAGACTACTCCAGCATCAGTTAGGCTTGAAAACAGTTTCCCACAGAAGGCTTTCAAGGCCAAATGCAGTGTATACGTTTGTGTGTGGGTTGGGGGACGGGTCATAGCTGGAGAACGAAGGGTTAACACTTTCCCATCTGCAGTCTCCATGAAGATCAAAGCCCTCCCTCCTTTGCCAATTAGTCTTGGAAAAAGCTAGAATGCTTCCCCCCCCCCAAAGCCCAACTGCTGTGGGGGGTGGGGGTGAGAGCAAAAATTTGTGTATGTATGTATGTGTTTGTGTGCATATATGTATGTTCAAACAGTGTGTGTGTGCTGTGCTTGTGCCAACACTGACCTAGTGTGCTTTGGGGGCACACTGGCAATGCAAGTGTGCCCTCAAGGACCTACAAGTTTGGTCCTGAGAGAGCATAGCCTCAGGTGGAAAATGATTCCCCACCCCAGTACTAGATCAACCAATCCATTAACTTACATGGATTAAGCTTTAGTTTATTATCCCCCATTCAGTCCACTATTAACTCCAGAGACAGTTTGAAGAATCAATTGCCTTCCTGGGCTACAAAAGAAGATTACTGGAGGTCATTAGCCTACTTCTTCCAATAGTTTGATTTTGAAAGGTGTGGCACTCTACAGGTTAATTCCCATAAGGTTGGAGCCACAATTTCCTGTCACCCCCTTCAGCTACCAGCCTATCTGTTAGAAGCAGATGCCTGTCAGGCAGTCTGGAAGGATACCATGGGAGATGGTTCTGAGAGCTGAAGAAAAGTCTGCAAGGTTCAACAGGGACACACTCCCTCCATTTGTCTCCTGCTGAAGGTTGTCAACTAGCATGACTAAAATGGTTCTAGATCTTATCTGGGCATCCTGCAAGTAACATTTCGCCTTCACACACCATCTGTATGGCTTGTTTCAGGTGCCCACGCTGCCCTGCCACAGAATTTACTGCCACAAATACTTTCCTGCCAGGGTTTGGGAGTGCTATGTAAATCATGCTCCTCCCAGCCCACCAAACAGTTGTGACACCCACCTACCTAAGCGTCCTCCCATTGCTATATGTACCCCCCACCCAGGGGCCAAAAATGCACCCACCCACCCAATAATGCTTTATTTCCCCTCTGGAATCACGAGAGTTGAGTATTCTGGGGCCTTTCCACGATAAGGCCTAGTTGCCTTGCTTCTGCTGTACCCTTTGAAGCCCGGCCTTGAAGGCAGGCTGTGAAGTGGAGGCATTCATCCCTGCAGAGCTGAAATTACCTCACAACTGTGAAATGAAATTCATCTCAGAGCCTTGATGCATGCTTTCTTCCTCTCTGCATGAAATATGGGCACCCACATAAAGAATGTTTGGTGTGTGGATAAAGTGTTAGGAGCACAGAAGACTTATGGGACTGTTTGTGTGCTGCTCGGAGCAGTGCAATAGCTGCCTGGAATGCATATGTTAGGAACCCCAGTCTGGAAATCTAGCTCTGCTATACTAGTGGTATAGCAAGTGGTAGAGCAAGTTAAGAGTGTGAACTATGGAGTGGGTATTCCTGATTCATATGTCAACGTCAGCCCAAGCTGGACAGTTTTAGTCCATCCAGGGCCTTTTTAGTTGTGGGACACTGGTTGTGGAACTCCTTCCAAAAAAGCTTTGTTCCTTCAGGCTTTTAGTATTCTTTATTTAGTCTTGCTAATTAGTATGGCACGTAACAGGATTGTTAGAAGGAGTGTTAATATGGCCTGCCCAAGGATTAACAAGGTAATGAAGATGTACTGCCTTGGACACTCAGTAAAAGAGCTATTACCTGTCTTGCATGCCTACTGCTTGCTGTGGCTCCCAGCACCCCTTCAGCTGCCATTTTGATGCAACATATTCACGCATATCAGCACACATATATCATGTCATAAGAAACTATCAGTGAGCAGCAGATGGATGCTGAGACAAAGGCAGTAGCAAAGCAAGGCAACAGGCAAAGTCTTGATTGTGGCTTTCCACCTGTCGATTGTGAAACAGACTTGTAAGGTTAAACTTATTGCCTGACTTATCAGATATTCATCAACTGAAGGGATAGCTAACCTTCAGCATGCCAGATGTTTCTGAACTACAGTTCTCATCATCCCTGACTATTGGCCATGCTGGCTGGAGCTGTTGGGAGTTGGAGTCCAGCAACATCTGGAGAGCCACAGGCTAGCCACCCCTAATATCCTGGTTCAGGGGTTTGAGTGCCCAGAACCTGTAAAAACATGAGAATGGTCTGGCCTTGCAAGGCAAAAAATAATCTAGCTGAGCATTCTATGCACTAGCCAGATGCTATGGGAAAGCTTACACTGTGAACTTGCGAGAGATTGCTATGTCTGTCAGGGGCAGTCCTACCGTTAAGCAGAGAGAGGCAGCTGCCCCAGGCAGCTGAATTTTAGTGTCATAAAAGGGACAGAAACTTGTTAAGTTATTCAATTTGAATCAACATATTTTTACTCTCAAGGAGTGGCACTTTTGGATTTTGTGTCTCCGGCACCAAAATAACATGGCAAGTATTTGATCCTAATCACGTTGACTTGAGAGAGGTGTGTGCGGTACCATTTGCCTATGGTGATCTTGTCCTATCCTCCATGAATTCAACTCGCCCATTTAAAAAAGGAATTGGTGTTTGGTGACCATCCGTAAACCATGTGGGAATGAACTTTGTAAGCTGAGTATGCATTGTGTGAAGAGATCGTTAGAGAGAGTTTGTCCTCCAGTTGTGGCTGATCAATTTCATTGGGCACTTTAATGCCCAAGTTATAGTGTTTACACACACACACTGATAGGAATTTATAGGCAGAGCTTTTGCCATCCTGATAAAGGAAAATTGTGAAGGATGCAACAATTGCACTGATATTGATGGATCATCTGCAGAATTTGGTTGTGCATATCTGTACATTTGTATAGATGTGGATGGTGCCTCTAAAACTAGCATTCTGGCCACTCCATTCCTCAGCATGGCGGATGTGGGCTGAACATTGTGATGCAATTACTACTGAAGGAGTTAGCACTGCAGGGTGTGCTTTTGCTCCCGAGCCATTAGCATGCAGGCCACCTCTTGTCTGTGTGGTGGTGGCCTGGGCTCCCTCGCTCCCCACCCCTTCCCTGAACTCACTCCCTTCCTCTTGAATAAAAGCACTGTCCTTCTCCTCTTTGAGTGGTTGCCACGGTGATAAGAGCCATGTGTCTGCCTGTCCTTCCACCTCCCTCCCTGAATTTTGCTGAAGCAAAGTCAAACTAATTTTGAAGTCTAAGCTCGTCCCATCTTGGCGCTAGAGCCAGTGGGTCAGGAAAGAAAGTGGGCCAGGCAGCCTGCCGGCCTGTCTATAGGCCTTTGTCAGCTCTGAGACAGGCAGAGATTAATGTTTGCTTTGCTCTTGGAAAAGGAAAGGCTGAAGAAGAATACCAACAAATAAACAAAAGTTTCCTTCAAATCTAGCAGGGTCTCTGCAGTTAGGGGAGGCATTCATTTGCCTGAGGAAAGAACAGTAAAGGATTTCTGCCCATTATGTTTAGAATTTTATCTAGAGACTCATTCCTTTTTCCTTATATTTCACTTTTGATATTCAGGGTGTTTTGTAGGACTTCAACTCACTTGTGAATTTGTTATTCCTCCCATTTTACAGATGGGGGTTACAGTGGCCATGTCAACAGTGGATGGAAGGAGAATTAGTGCAGGCAGAATTTCCCACACATGACCGATTAAATGCATTGCATGAGTGAATCCAGCTGTAAGACCATGTCCTGAGGGACATATCAAAGACTTATATCTTATTAAAGGTACCTTATTTTATTCTCACAGCAGCCTTAGGTGAAGTCACCTATTACGTTTCATGACTGAGTGGGGACTTGAACCCACATCTCCCTGGTTAAGACAGACAAGTCTATCCACAGTGCCTTTCAGGTGTCCTATAAAGCCATGGTTGTGTTCATATTTGAACCCTGGTTGATTCAACACATTGCACTAGGTCTGATGAATTATATAGTACAGTTCATCATCTAGCTTGCTTTCCAGGTCTGAATAAAGAACATAACTCCTGCATCCTATACTTCAAAAAATATTTGAATTCAAAAAATATTTGAATAAGGAGGCAGCAAGAGACTTGGGTAAAACCATTAAAGAGCATGGTGGGTTTTGCTCTGCATGTGTATGAGAAAGAGACGACAAGCTTTTAAGCACCAAGAGAAGTGTTTTAGCATTTCAGATACTTTTTTCTTTCTTTCTGGTTTGCTCTTTAGCTGTTTGGGTTTAATTTGTTTTTGTTTTCCAGTATTTTGCTACATTTACATGTTGGATTTAAATTGTGTGTATATGTTTTGTGTGAATTATTTTTTATTCACACTCCTGTGCTCCATCGTGGCATCTTTTGATGAAGTGTGGGTAGCAAATATTTTGAATTTTTAAAGAAAGAAATATAAATCCCATAAATTCCAGTAAGCGTGGGCTCATAAGTTTGATGAGCGTCACGTGGAGACTGGTTGAAACAATTCTTACTGTGAATACTTGCCCAATAAGTTGCTGCTGTAAGGTGCAGCACTAGACATGTGAAGGCTTCTGGCGGGGTACAGAAAAATTGGAGGGGACCCCAATTTTCCACCTATTTTTCTATGCCCCCCCCCCAGTTTGGGGGGAAATGAACAGGAGGAGAAAATTTCCCAGGCCTTCATATCTCTGTTAGCACTGCTCTCCCTTTCTCTGTTCCTCCTCATCTGGCGTGTGTCCCTGTTATAGCAGCAGCAGTACAGAATCCAGCCATGATGGGTAGTAAGTCATCATACAGAGGCCATTTCCAGCAGTCCACCTTATTCGAACTAAAGTCTTCTCAGGAGTGAGGTGGGAGCTGTAACAGCTTCATGGTCTGGTCCCAACCACCCCAGTGCTTTTTGCTCTTTTCAGAGACTGTTCACAAGACAATACTAACATTAAGAAGAACCAAGTTGGATCAGGCCAAAGACCTCTCTAGTTCAGCTTTTTGTTCTCGCTGTTGCCAACAAGATGCCACTGCTTGAGTGGTAGGACATCTGCTTTGCATGCAGAAGGTCTTGTGTTTGATCCCTGGCATTTCCAGATAGCACAGGGCTAGATGAACCAATGAACGGATTCTGTATCAAGCAGCTTTTATGGGAAACCCAAAAAGGAGGATATGAACTCAACAGCACTGTCTTGCTCATGGTCCCCAGCACCTGAGTGTGTTACTAGAGGCAAAATTGCCACCAGGACTCATAGCCATTGATGGTTTTATCCTCCATGAATTGAATATATGTAATTACGGTACTCCAGACTTAGTCCGTTCTAAATTAATTACTGCAGAATAAATACAGCCACTAATACAAATTAGAATTCCTATTCCACACTTTAGGACTACTCTTCTCTATTTTACTAAGTGTGCATGCTGCCAGGACCTGGGGTTGGTTACCACTCCCTGCATCGTGTGCATACTGCATAGACACAGGGTGAAGAAATAAGGTTGCCTTTCACATATTTTGAGGAACACTGTGGGTATTCAGGTACAATCCTCTCCCCCGCCCCCGTAATGTGTGAAGTCTTCATCATTTTTTGCCATGACTAATGGAAGGCACACTAATATTTACCTGGACTGACACTTCAGGTGGGGGGGGGAGGGAGGACATACTCTTTCAAGGACAAGGTGTAATTCTGTTCCCGGTGCTCTTTAAACTCCTCTGATTGAGAACAGATAGACACAAAAGTGCATTAAAAATCCATTAAAACTGGAGTAATTATGCATGTGAACATAGGCCAGATCCCATTAAATGTGAGTGGGGTTGTTCAGATCTTTTTTAAGGTTAGGATACCAGGCCGGTTTTTGGCAGCCAAAGATCTACTGGCTCCTTGAGAAAGGGGAATGCTGTCAATATCCTGTTGAGAAGCTGCCTCTGAGGAGGGTGGGCAGAAATCCCCTCACACCCCAGACTGAATGAGCGATTGTTCTGCCTGTCTCCCCTCCTCTCCCTCTCCAGTTGCTATGAATGTTGTTGTTTGGGGTCATTAAGGAGTTCTGATGGTAGAGGGGTTGTGACCCTGGCAAGGTCTTGAATAGCTATTGTCCCTTTTCTTCCCTTGTTGAATGGGAGGCTGAAGGCCTGATTCAGAATGACCCAGGGAGTGGCGGGAGGATTTTCCCACAAGGTTGATGGATGGAGCCAGATGCTGAAATTCCAGCACCCACCCCCCATGCTGGTTCCTTCCCCTTCTTGTGATGGATTATAATAAATTATAGGGTTTGCACTAGCGGTACTGCGGTTTAGCTTGTAACAGGCTTCTCCATTGTATTGCCTGATTATTTCTTAAGAGTCCACCTCCCCACATAATTTCTTCAGAAAATGCCCTTTCTGCCTGAAATACCTTGTTATGGTGTGTGTGGTCTTCCCTGATCCATGGTATTTACTTCGCTCAAGCCTAAGGAGGCAAGGAATTCTTAAGAGATCAAAACAGGGAGTGGGGGGAATATCCAGGTGTTAGCCATAGAAAGCTGGTTGCCTTTATTAATTCATGCCTACCTTCTTTCACCCCAGCAATAAATTCTTCAGACATTTTAATGGAACAAAATCCAATCACAGCAGCGCCTTTCTTTTGTGACGTGCTTGCTACAGTGCATTTGCTGCTAAATTATAAAGCATTTCATGTAATTCAGGCTTAAACTACAATCAACAGAATAAATGATCCAGGTTTATCCTTTCCTTTTCATTGTTTGATCACTTGCTAATCCAGAGTGTTCAGCCATCTGTGCCAGGCACCTGTTCCTTGTGCAACTTTGCATGGTGCTGTTACTCTCAGAAGCAATTTCTGGAACTGCTCAGGGTGGTGGAGGCTGCTTTCCATAAATTGGAACCCCAAATCACCTTGGTGCCACACATCCACTTTTGTTTGGAGTTGCAGATTCTGGGAGTGATGTGGCACATCGTTTAATGATGAGTTATTCTCCATTGGCATTTTAACCATTAACAAAAGGTAGCAAATCTGTTTTTTATATTTGATCCGCTTTTTTTTTGAGCTGGTCTTCTTCTTCTTCTTCTTCTTCTTCTTCTTCTTCTTCTTCTTCTTCTTCTTCTTCTTTGGTATTCTTTTATATACCACAGAATCAATAAACATATATCTACGTGGTATCTATACTTCAGTTAAACCCAAAACAATATGACTAATAAGATCAAAGCAAAATACATTAAAGGAATGGAAGATATGAAGGTTATAAGAATAATAATTCATTTTCATATGAAGGCTTGCTGAGATAACGAAGCCTTAAGTTGACGCCTGAAACTCATTGTACAGACAACTGGCATTTGATTTCATTTGGTAGAGTTCGATAATCCTGGTGCCACCAAACAAGCACAGCTGCTTGTTGAGGACAGTCTTATACTGCCAGGAGCAGTCAGACTTGCCTCAGTGGCTGATCGCAAAGACAGGGCAAGGGTATAGGGGATGCGGTGATATTTTAAGTGCACTGACCTTGGGTTGTTCAGGGCTTTATTATGTACTAATAGTAAGTCCTTGAAGATAGCTTTGGTTGTTTACTGACAGTCAGTGCAAGTCCCTCATCACAGGTGTTATTGGGCGTGGGCAACTGACAATGTATAACATCCAGGCTGCAGAATCTACCTCACATAGATAGAGACAGGTATCCTCAAGGTTACCTGTGCTTTTGAACCACCATAGCTAATCTATCCCAATCCAGGAATGGTTGTGGTGGGGATACTGGCTGAAGCTGGTAAAAGGCATTCTTCACCACTGAACCTCAAGTGACTGAGCTGGAGCCAAGAGTACTGTGTACCTGCTCCTTCAAAACGAGTTCCACCCCAACTGGCTTATCTTCCTGATATGGGAACGTCTCATCCGTAGTGCTCCTGTCTTGCCAGGATTTAAATTTAGTTTATTGGCCCACATTGAGCCCAGCACTGCATCCAGGCACTGGGCCAGAACTTTCATGCACTCACTCAGCTCAGGTTCTTGCACCAATGTACCCTTACCTTTCTTTCAAGACGGCCTAGCCTCCTATTTCTGTGTGGAAGCAGGATTGGAATAAAAGAAGAAGTGAAAAGTCAGTCAACCCTGTTTTTGTGCAGGTATTTATTTGGAATCATGGGGCAAAGGTCATTTTGGCTCTGGCATTCCACCCCCACCCCACCCCCGCCACCCTTTTGAAAACATTTGGGCAGACACATTCAGTAGTCACTGTAGTTTGTCACTGCCCTAATTCAGACCTTGCAGTCTTCCTTATTCGCTTGGAGAAAGGCAATTTGCATCTGCTTCTCTCTCTCTCTCTCTCTCTCTCTCTCTCTCTCTCTCTCTCTCTGTCTCTGTGTGTGTGTGTCTGAAAATGTGAGCAGGATTGGGGAGCACCACCTACATGTTAAAGTCCTCTACGAGAAAGGAATCACCAGATAAGAAGAAATGATCTCTTTGCTAACCAGCTCAACTAAGCAGTTGAGTCTCTAGAATTATCACAGCATTTGTCTCCTGGGGTTCTTCAATATTTGATCATCCTTTTCTCACTTTGCAATGCAAAGGTAATACTTGTTTAACAAGGAAGGAGGAGAAAAACACACTGATTTAGAAATATTTTGGGGTGCCAGCTAGCCCACCTTGAGCTTTTTTGTTTTGATTAGCTTACTCAAGTTTAAACTAAAATCTACACAATTGCTAAATTAAGTATACAACATTTACTTCGTTATAATAATAGTTTTTATTTTTCCCAGTTCCTTGTTCTGGGCAGAGCCCTGGTAAATATAGGTTGTAGTGTATAAACTAGATCTTACTCAGTGTCCTCTTCTGAACTAGGTTTTTTTCTGGGGAAATTGCCAACTTTCCAATTTTGTACCACCCATGTATAAAACAAGTTGTTTAACTTGCTTCAGTAAATAGTCACCCTCTGTTTTGAATACTTTTTCTTTTAAAAGGAAATCCCCGGTCAGAAATATTTATTTGCCTGAGACTGTTGTTATAAACAGAGATAAGTGAGTTAAACATAATCCCTAAAAATGAATAGTTTGCATTCTTCACATAATCTCTATAGTGGCTTTATATCCTAGCCTGCAAATTACATGTATTTTAGCTAATTATCCTGTTTTCCAGTCATCTGTATCCTCAGTGTGTACAGCAGTTTTAGTGACCAATTAGCAAGCGATCCAGACCAGATCAGCACTATTGTCAATTTATGTTTCAGTTTTGTCATTCACTGTCCCATAATAAAGCTTTCTGTTCTCCCCTTCCCCATACAATAGGGTTGCCATATTTCAAGAAGTAGAAATCTGGACACCCCTAAAGTTGTTGAGTTTTTAAAAATTGTTGAGTTTAGTGTGTGTGTTTTTTAGGAAAACACACTTGCTTCTCTGCAATTGTAGGCTTAGGTTTTATACCCCTCCTTTTAGCATGTGCTGGATTAGTACAGGTGTACCTGCCAACAATTAGTTTTACCCAAATTATGTCAAAGTAGTCAGATTATGCTTCTGCTAAAAGACACCAGCTGATAAAGGGCATGAGTCAGCCAGAATTATGTGTGTTTAAACCCCATTTGTTTAAATGGGAGGGTGAAGCATTTAGGGTGAGGCTTATGCATTTAGGGTAAGTGATGAGAGAGATGCAGCCCCAAGCGCAGCCATACTGGTTTATTCTGCCCTGTTCACATTTAAATGGCGGGAGGGTCTGATTTTTACACCAGAAGGTGTGTGCTGAGAGCTGAACCTATTCCCTCCTCCACTTTAACTCTCCACACTCCATCCTTAAGGGCATTTTTTTCCTGGCCCAGTCCACTTCCAGTAATGATCTGGTTGGGAGAAAAGTTCCTGGGGTGGTGGACTGTGAGAAATTAAAGGGGAGGAGTGGGAAGTTCTTCTCACCTGTTGTTGTTTAGTCGTTCAGTCGTGTCCGACTCTTCGTGACCCCATGGACCAGAGCACACCAGGCACTCCTGTCTTCCACTGCCTCCCGCAGTTTGGTCAAACTCACGTTGGTAGCTTTGAGAACACTGTCCAACCATCTCGTCCTCTGTCGTCCCCTTCTCCTTGTGCCCTCCATCTTTCCCAACACCAGGGTCTTTTCCAGGGAGTCTTTGAAGACAAACTGCCAATATCTGCCTGCTTCAGTGGGTGCTTGGATCTAAGAGTATCACTCGACAAGCAGATTGAACTTCTTCACCAGGCAAAAAGAAAAAGAAAAGAAACAAACCCTCTTCTGCCTAGCAAGGTGGAATGTCAGGACCATGTGTCCTGGCTTATCCACAGACCTGTTGCAGGTCAACGACTCGCAGAAAATGGCCATCATTGACCGTGAGCTGAAAATGCTCAATACTGACATTGCCTCGCTACAAAAAAACCAGAGTTGCTTCAAATAGCAGCCTCCGAGATAATAACTGCACCTTTTTCTGGCATGGAGGGCATCCAGAAGAACCATGTATTGACAGCTTAGACTTTGCAGTGAGGAACTCTCTTTTGTCTGCTACAGAGGGCTCAAAACACTTGCTCTCTCTGCCTCTCAGCCACCTGCACTCCTGGTTTAAGGTGGGCAGTAGCTGACCAGTGAGATACAATTCGAAGACAACTCAGAGCGATCATACCTTAAGCCAGTCAGGTTGAGGTTAAGACTCATAACTGCTGCCTCACCGAAGTTCTGCAACATATAATAAAAGCATTAATATGTGAGAATCCCTTAACACCTCTAACATTTCCTTCATAGAATAATCAACAACTGATTCTGTTCTTACACCCTTTGTTCTCTCATTTCTATCAATGATGTTGATTATACGTGGAAAGTCCTCGTTTCTGTGCTAGTAAGTTTTACCAAAACTTTTGAATTAGGAAATTTTCCTATGCAAATCTGGCTAACTTGTATAGAGTAATTTGCATAAGAAAAATCTCAGTTTACACTGTAGGGCCTGCACAGTGATTTAATTTAGCATATTTAATTTACTCACATTCAAATTAACAAAACTAAACACTTTGAAACTGCCATGCTTGCCTAATACTGAATTTGCATTTGGCATCCATTCACTGTTACTAATAAGAACAGAAAAGTTTCCCTCAGAAAAATAAAGGAGTGGGAAACGTCCGCCCCACGTCACTACCTCCATTACAGTGGTCAGTGAATGTGGAGCCATATGCATTCTCTCCTGTTGTTCTACTTGCTTGCCCTGTCTTAATTCAACAGGGCTCATCATTTTTGAACCTGGTAAACTGAGTGAAAGATTTGTGGTAACAGTTGGAACAGTCACAGTAATTGTGGTTGATGGGTGGCTTACAATGATCTTTCACCTGTTCTGTCAAATAGTTTAGCAATGCATGCCTTTCCCACTGCCTTTTTAAAGGAGTAGTGAAAACAGCCTCTGAAGGAATTGCGATACCTTCTCTGTGCTCTTACGTTTGACAATCAGCTGCACAAGACCCTCTCATGATAATGTCCCTTACCTTGCAAATGAGTCCGCTCGCCAGAGTCACCTCTGATGATTGCCATTCTGTCACAGCATTTGATGACATAGCAGCTATTGACCACACAACTGCTTGCTTTCGAAGACTACACATGGGCTTGGAGGCCAGCCTCGGATGGGTGGGATTGATTGATTGATTGATTGATTATCTATCTAACTTGTGTTTCCTCTGCAAGGAAATTGAGGGCAGTGTACATAAGCTCTTCACACCATACATTTGTGAGGGGCACATGCCTCTCACCACTCAAGACTCCTGGGAACATTACCCTTTACAGAGCTACAATTCCCAGCAGCCTTAACAAACTACAATTCCCAGAAATATTTGGGCAAGGGAAAAGTCATGTGCTTTAAATGTATGGTGTGTACACAACCATTGGTGGTCTCCCACCCAGGCACTGACCAGACTCAGACTTGCTTAATTTCAGTTGAATCATTTGCCTTCCAGCCTTTTGTTCCACCCCTGCCCCACTGCCATTCCCTCCATATCTTGGCTTAATACCCCCACGATCCCCAGCCAGTGTGGCCATACTGGTTGGCGCTGATAGGAGTTGTAGTCCAAAACACCAGGAGGACAGTAAGGCTGCCGAAACCTGGTTATGCAGCAGAGAATTCACAAGCAAGAGAGGGGTTGAACAATACCTCCCTCTTCCTTCCTGTTCTCCCCTGCAAATGCCCCCAACACTTGCATTAGAACTATGAGGTAAAGATGGGGGTTGGTGACCCTGCGTTTTCCTCATGTACTTTGTTCAGAGTTGCACAGGAAAAACTGGTCTGTTGGTGATGTCAGGGAAGATGGTGGGGGGGGCTTATATTTCCCCTCATATTTGCCTTCTGCTCCTTAGGGGGAGGCCCACCCCTCACACATGAGAACCATGGATTTAATGCTTCAGAATGTAGCTAATCAGATTATCTTTAAGCCCATTAACTCTACTGCCAAAGATGAAATAGTTCTGAAATCTTGTTAGCAAGTTCTGTGGGTGAAATAGGGCAGTATGTCAGAAATCTCCAGCTACCTCTTTGGCCTGAAATAGGGTGTGTGTTTGTTGGAGCATCCCATCAAACTGTAACCTTCCTGTTGGGATTCATACATTATCTGCAATGATAACCTGCAGTTTCATTGCTAGCAGTTCCAGCCATTATTGCAGCTCTCACCCTCAGCATAGTTCAGAACAGAAAGAAATGGCAAGCTAGATATTTTTATATAAAGGAAACTGAAATAGTATAGAGCTAGGCCCATATATTTAGCAAAATGCCACAAGGAATAGCAACAGCCAGTGCTTTTTTTCCCCATAATTTTTTTTTAGGGATACTCTCATTTTCCTACTCAGATTGAAATACTGCCTCTCAATGAGGCCAAACTTAGATTCACAAAATGTTTAGGGGTATCCGTACCCCTGCGTCACCCCAGAAAAAAAAGCACTGGCAACAGCGATGCACATTTGTAGCTGCCTGTTTAAGTGCTGAATTGTTTTCTGCTTCCACATACAGTGGTACCTCGGGTTACAAACGCTTCGGGTTACGCGTTTTCAGGTTGCACACCGTGGGAAACCCGGAAGTACCGGAAAGGGTTACTTCCGGGTTTCGCCGCTTGCGCATGCACAGAAGTGCCAAATTGCATCACGCGCGTGCACAGACGCGGCGCTGCAGGTTACAAACGCTGTGGGTTGCAGACATGCCTCCGTCACAGATTACGTCTGCAACCCAAAGTTCCACTGTATTGTGATACAGCTTTGGAGGTCTGCGGATTAATGCCAGCTGTGGAATAAGGGTGTGGTGGTTATTAACCTCTGGCGGTTGGATAAATATTCTGTCACTGGGTAAGAATCCCTTATCACCAGTCCTATAAGCTTGTGTGTCTTTTGTAGATGAAAACTGATGGGATCCTTGGTTACATCAATGGGCAGGAGTTAATGATGGTGTTATAATTAGTTAACACTAATGGCATTACAATTATTGTGAAATAATGGTTGTGTACTTGAGACCTCAGGTGATTTTACCCAGGAGGAGAAAGATGCATTTAGAAACCGGGTCAGCAGTGAAACCGCAGAGATCAATTTCCTTCCCCCACCAATGTTTATTATGTCTTATTTTTTCCAGCAGTGCTGGATTGTTCAGCAGCACCTAAAATTCTGAGCTGTGGTAGCTTACACATGTGAAGAGACGGGAGCACAAAAGCAGGGCCGTAATGCAGATTGTGTACTCGAAATACTCTTGGGAATAAGCATATATTTCTTTGCTTTTGCATAATTTATTCTGCTTCCAAAGAGTCAAAGAAGTTGGAGGGTTTGGGTTTTTTAAAAAAAGAATGTGGTGATTAAGAGGAGAAGTGGAAAGAGCATGGAAGATTAAGGATTGGTAGGTCACATGTGTGCAAGGGACAGGGAACTAATAAATAACAAGTGGAATCTGCAACAAAATGTTGCAGCGTGGAGTGCTGCCATTCAGAATTCAAGGCATTCCACCTCCCACCTCTTCCCTTCTCTCCCCCTGCCATGCCCAGTCAAGCAGCATTTGATGGCCAGTGAGCATGCTTTTTTGTAATCAGCTTTTTTGTGGCAGCGGAGCTCAAGTTTTTTCTTCAAAAATGTTTCTCGCTACAGACCTCTTCTGTATGGGTGGCAGTATTTTGGCTGTGCAAGCAATGACACCCAGAGCCTGGACATAATAAATACAGTGAATTATATGGGTGGAGTGGGTGTGGGGACAAGGAGCTGAAGACTCGCCCTCAAGGCCACTTCAGAAGTTACTAGCTGCTAAGCATATCCCAGCATTTATATCACTATGAAAACATGATGCAGGGAGAAGGGAGGCAGTTGCAGTTCTGAGTGGCTTCTTTTGCAGTGTACACATGGTTAAGTAAACACATCTAGCCGACACATATATCAAAAGGATCCCATAAAAACACACACAAATACATGACTTGTTTATTAATTAGTAACATGTGAAGCAGCCCACATACCAGTGGGAATCCTGTGTGGCCCCCCCTTTCCTTTTGAAACTGCTCCAAGCACCACTCACGTCTTTCACCATTTTCACTGTAAGAATATGAATGTGGATCAAATATGAATATGAATCAAAACAAAGAGTGGGGGAGGACATTGAAAAGAGGTCACATTATTTTTGCAAAACCACTAGTACTTAAATCAGGAGTAATCACTGTGTTGTGGAACTGTATGGAAAGCAGTGCCTTCAAGTTCATAATGCACAGTAATTGACAGTGTATTAATAATGAATACTATGACTGATCTGTGCCAGTCTATTGGGTTGTATTCAGTTATGGTCCTTATGCAAATGGTAGCTCGCTCTTCCAGCATGGGCTTCCTTCAGAAGAATGAGTGAGAGGTGATTTTTGTCGTGCGTCCCTCCATGCATCCCCACTCCCAAATCTGCTCCAGGAGGTAATGGAGGAACCTTTGGGACAATGTGAGAGATCTGGGTGGGGTGTGTGTGTGCGCGCGCGTGAAGGGGAGGGCAATTGGTGAAAATGGTCTCCCTCCGTCTGCTAGATCAAAGCACCTTCTGACAGCGTGAGGACCACCCCAGGGATTGCTTGGCATGACTGGGATTTGGGCAAAGTAGCAGTGACCCAATGGATAGATCGTACAATACGATTCAGTGCATATCCTTAGAATATGAATGAGAGAATGTCAAACTTTCAATAGTGGCCTCATAGTCTCTGAGATTCAACTGCAGTGCAGTTCTGTGGCAAAAGCCAATCACTGAAGATGAGAGATGCCCTATAATCCACTTCGACTTTGCCTATTTAGACCGAGTTTGCTGAAAGGAAATTGAGTCAGTGAGCAAGCTGTGCATAATTTCCAGAGAAATCCACTTTGCTGATACTTGCCCCCCAAACTTACCCAGCTTCCCTCACATATCACTAACTGCAAATCAACATCCAATTACTACCCTCCTATTATGTCATGGAACTGTATAGATCCATCCCCTGCTTCCATAATGGGGGAAGATTTGGAATATATCAGACACAGCTTTCACAGACTGCCACACGCGAAGACGCTCCATTGCCCATTGGGTTTCTGTTTAATATATATAGGTGTCCAAAGTAATGTACAGCAGCTTAGCAGTCCTTGCAACAACCCTGTGAGGTAGGCCAATAGTATCTACGTGACCCAGGGCCACTCAGTGAGTTGGTGATGGTTGCGAAATTTCAGCCAGAGACTTACAGGTTTGCCACTGTGCTACACCAGCTCTCTTGTCTACTAGTGCTTCTCAAAAAAAAACACAACCATTTTCTGAGCATCATTCTGAAGTAGGCTTGTGTGACCTTGAGCTATAATAAACTCTTGGGGCCTTTCTGTTTACCCTCTTCCCGTTGCTCTTTCCCACAGGCACCATTCGCCCCGTGCGGCGTAGCTATTACGACCCCTCCTCAGCTCCGGGAAAGGGCGTGGTGTGGGAGTGGGAGAATGACAATGGCACCTGGACTCCCTACGACATGGAGGTGGGCATCACCATCCAGCATGCCTACGAGAAGCAGCACCCCTGGATTGACCTCACTGCCATCGGCTTCTGCTACATCATTGACTTCAGTACGATGGGGCAGATCAACCGCCAGACGCAGCGCAAGCGCCGCGTCCGCCGCCGCCTCGACATGGTCTACCCGTTGGTCACCGGCACCTTGCCCAAATCCCAGTCGTGGCCAGCGAGCCCTGGGGTGGCCAGCACGCCTCCTGCGCCGGCCTGCACTTGCCCCCAGTGCCTCCTTGTCATGAGCATCAAGGCGGCGGTGGCAGCCGGGAGCAACGGAGGGACTGGCGTTTCGGTCAGCCAGCAGCAGCTCTTGCAGCAGCAGCAGCCGCCCGCACAACCACCACCGCCTCCCCGTAAAGCTGTCTCCCTTTCTGGCAGCGCCAAGCTCCCCATGCCGGCATCTATCCACAAGCCCCAAGACGGAGCAGCTACCATGCGCAGTTCCTTGAAGACCCTGGCCTCTCAGGTGAGCCGGAGGCAGGCAGCCAGCACTCCGGCCCTCACCACAGCCAGCTCCCCCGCCAGCCCTACCAGCGCCAACGGCAAGGTGACCCGCGCCAGCCTTAATACACTGAACCGTACCAACCTGCAGCGCCTAGCCATTGCGCAGTCCCGTGTGCTGATTGCCTCAGGGTAAGTACATTGCAGTTGTCTTGGACAGTGGGGTGTGTGACTGTGAGTGTTCCCAAACGGTGGTCCACGGCGCACCAGTGGTTCACGAGCCTCGTTCAGGTGTCTGTGGATTTGTGGTTGAGGATAGCAGACGGCACATCAATCACATCGAATGGTCATACTTACTTTTATTTATTGCGAGTCCTATTGATTTTTAATGGTGTTGTTATTTGCTTCTTTTATTTCTTGCATCAGACCAGATTCAACTCACTAGTGCAACAGGGGTTTCCCTTCCTCTCTTTCCCCACCCCAGATTGGCAGGGCAGGGGGCTGTCGGGAGAACCCTCAGAACAGTTCACCGGGGGCGGGGGGGAGCATTCCGGCAAACTGAAATGTTTGCGCTGACAGAGCATAATTTTAAATTTTACATTATTTTATTGTGCTACAATTTGAATTCAATGGAATACAACAAAGTGCAATAGAAAAGAACCAAATGAAGCGATGGGAATACGGTTAAAAATCATGCAGTATCTAGTGCAGCATATTACAATTGAAAAATCATTATGTGTTTCGCCAAGAGCCTCAGCAGTTTTCAAGTGGTCCATGAGGAGAACAGTTTGGGAACCACTGGGGTAGGAAACCTGAGTTGTGAGTGAATCGAGCGCCTATGGACTGTACAGATTAGTGCCTCCTCCCCTTTTTTGCATATGGCGTCCACACTCTACAAGTAGATAAGGCTATATTGCAAACTCCCCTGTGATCTTCAGATGAAGGACGGTATAGAAATTTAATATTAATAATTCTTCCTCTGCTGATGGAAGGCACTATACCTCTGCTGCTAGGATTCGGAAATGGGGAGATGGCTATTGCACTCAGGGCCTGCTTGTTGATATCCTGTGGTTGGCCACTGAGAGCATGATACTCAGTTGGATGCTCAGCAGGGCTCTTCTTAGAGGGTCCCTGCTGTTTTACCATGGTGCACCCTTGGGTCATTACGTGGGAGAAGCTCTTTTGAGCCCCCTCCCTCCAAATCTGTTGTCTCCGCTTGATGTGGTCTGCAGAGACAGACGCCCAACACCCATCTTAGTTAGTCGAGACAAATGATGAGTCAAACCAGATCTTGCCTCACATTGAAAATGATTACTGTTTTTCATAGCAAGCCAAGTTTCAGTGTTGTGAAAGGATTTTTCAGTAAGCAAAAAAGGCTTCCTAAAGCAAGGCTGGGCCATCTGAAGCTCCAGGCCGTATGTAGCCCTCAGCTCTCTTCTGTAGCTCAGTGGCTTTGCTAATGTAGAAGGTCTTCGGTTCAATCCCCATCATCCCCAGGGAGGGGCTAAGAGAGAGCTCTGCCTGAAATCTGAGAGAGCCAGTCAGTGGAGACAGTTCTGAGCTAGATGGGCCAATGGTCTGACTCTGTATAAGGCAGCTCCTATGTTCCTACAAGTCCTTTGCAGACAACCAGGTGTGGCCTTTGGGAAGAGTAATCTGGGAAGGGAGGGGGAGAGAGAGAGAGAGAGAGAGAGAGAGAGAGAGAGAAGGGACAGCCCTGCCCCATTTTTGGATCTGGGCCTCCCATCCCAGTGCTGACTTTGGCCCTGCCCACAGTCTGCATGTGGCCCTAAACAAATTATCCCCAAGGGAATATAGACCTGGACAGGAGAGAAAAGGTTGACATGAAGTCTAAGCTCAGAGGTTACAAACATTTTGAGGGTTTTTTTCAGTTGAAAAGAATCTGACTTCTTAAGTGTTGACTTGTTCGTTAATTTCATATTTTGTTACTCTTCATTGTCATGGGAAGTGCTAGAGCAGGTTACAAAACATGGGAAACGAAACAATATGTTAAATAAACACAACAAAAATGTTGCAGTTGAGGCATCTCTAGAGATTCCAGCAGCATGAGCCAGTTGCAAGTCAGAGGGCCTGACTTGAGAATCTACAAGAACATGATGGGGCCAAGCTGTGGTGTTGCTTAATATATGCCAGCATGATAGAAAAATCCCTAATGAAGATCTAAGACTGCCTACAGCTGGCACTCCCCACCTCGGCCTCTCTCAGCTCCCGCGTTCCCCAACTTTTAGCAAATACCACAGACCCCTTTAACCATGAAAATGGGGGGGGGGGAGGCCTGCAAACCCCTTTTGAATACTAATGAGGAAGTGAAACATTTTTTTTCTCCCCCCTCCACATCTAGGGACCCTTCCTCTCAAAAGCCCTATTGAAAGCTTTTCACGCCACTGCCTGATCTGGAAGACACCCCACCCTCCCCTGACCAAAACACTCTTTCTTGGGCATCTAATTAGCGTGTTTCTCCCCTTTTGTCTGACTGCCATCGGCCTTCTGTCGCCCGGTGGCTCCCCCCCCCATCGCCCGTGACCCTTCCAAAAGACTTTCCCAAGGAAGAGAGCAAGGGAGGAAGGGGCCAAGGCGATGTTTGCTGGAACAAAAGGCCCTGTGAATAACTTGGAGACACGACCAAGGTTTCTAAAGAGCTGGAGAAAGGCGCAGTGAGAGGAGTGCTAGGGAATGGGAGAGGGGTGGGCAAATGCCTCTGTCTTTAGATTAGAGGATTCTCTGTCTCCAGTTAGGTCTTGGTCTGTCTCTACGGCAACTATTGTCCAGCTGGAAAGGTCCTTCGCTCTGTTTGTCATTCAGGCCTTGTTGCCTTCTCATGCATACTTCATCCGTCCCTGTCCCAGATGCCTCGACTTCCCTTTTGTGTGTGTGTGTGTGTGTGTAGCAATTTGAGGATTGTTCATTTCTAAAGGGCATACAGTTTAGAATGGCCATCAAATGGTGATTTCTGATATGTGAAGCCACTGTTAGAATTTGGCCAGACAGCTCTCTGCGTCGTACAGACATAGGCAGGATTCGTCAGGCGAGTCTGGCTTCTCTTGGCCTTGCATGGCTGACAGGACCCAGTATAGATTGTACAATGGAACCTCGGTTGTCGAATATAATCCATTCCGGAAGACCGTTTGACTTCCAAAACGTTCGAAAACCGAGGCTCAATGGGCAGTCGGAGAATTCAATTGAAAAAATAGGGAAACGCAACTCAGAAGCCGTTCAACTTCCAAGGCGCGTTAAAAAAATGGAAGCATTCACTTCCAGGTTTTTGGCATTCAGCTTCCGAAATGTTTGGCAGCCAAGACATTAGAAAACTGAGGTTCCACTGTACTGTCCACCTGCTGGCTTCATGACTTAGGTCGAAGGGTACCCAAATATTTGTAACATAGGGGGGTGGGGTGGAGTTGCTGCTTTTGTAGGACACATCCTGCCCCACAGTGGCTAACCAGGAATGCATGAAGCAGACATGTGGACCTGTTCTAAGAAACTTGTGGGACTGCACTTTTTTTTTACTCCATAACCCTTTCACTTACACTATGTTCTCGGTGGTTTTTCCTCCATTCAGACACAGCACAATGAACTTTACCCTTCTCTTCATGAAGAAGAAGAAAAAAATCATGTTATTTTTTAAATCTTCAATAATAATAATAATAATAATAATAATTTTATTATTTATACCCCGCCCATCTGGCTGGGCTTCCCCAGCCACTCTGGGCGGCTTCCAAAAATATTAAAATAATGTAATACATCAAATATTAAAAGCTTCCCTAAAAAGGGCTGCCTTCAGATGTCTTCTAAAAGTCTGGTAGTTGTTGTTCTCTTTGACATCTGGTGGGAGGGCGTTCCACAGGGAGGGCGCCACTACCAAGAAGGCCCTCTGCCTGGTTCCCTGTAACTTGGCTTCTCTCAGTGAGGGAACCACCAGAAGGCCCTCGGTGCTGGACCTCAGTGTCCAGGTAGAACGATGGGGGTGGAGACGCTCCTTCAGATATACTGGACCGAGGCCGTTTAGGGCTTTAAAGGTCAGCACCAACACTTTGAATTGTGCTCGGAAACGTACTGGGAGCCAATGTAGGTCTTTCAAGACCGGTGTTGTGTGGTCTCGGCGGCCGCTCCCAGTCACCAGTCTGGCTGTCGCGTTTTGGATTAGTTGTAGTTTCCGGGTCACCTTCAAAGGTAGCCCCACGTAGAGCGCATTGCAGTAGTCCAAGCGGGAGATAACCAGAGCATGCACCACTCTGGCGAGGCAGTCCGCAGGCAGATAGGGTCTCAGCCTGCGTACCAGATGGAGCTGGTAAACAGCTGCCCTGGACACGGATTTGACCTGTGCCTCCATGGACAGCTGTGAGTCCAAAATGACTCCCAGGCTGCGCACCTGGTCCTTCAGGGGCACAATTACCCCATTCAGGACCAGGGAATCCCCCACACCTGCCCGCCTCCTGTCCCCCAAAAACAGTACTTCTGTCTTGTCAGGATTCAATCTCAATCTGTTAGCTGCCATCCATCCTCCAACCACCTCCAGTCACTCAAGCTTTCAAACTTCCCTCAATATCACTTTGCATTTTCAGAACGTCACTATTTGTGGGGTGGGAATCAGCCACATACATGTTATTTCAGTTCTTAGGTCAAGATGGGCAAACCCATGGCTCTGCAGCAGCTGCTGGAATCTTGACTCCCACCAGCCTCCAGCCAGCATGGCCGGTGGTTAGGGATAATGGGAGCTGCAACTTCTGGAGGGCCACCGGTTCCCCACCCCTGTGAATAATAGCCTATTTCAGGGTACAAGTATTTCCAGGAAGTGGTTCTGGAAAAAGCAATAACGTTTTCTCTCTGGGGAATCCATCCCCACTGTTACTATGATCACTCACTGCCCAGTCCTATATAGTGGTACCTCGGGTTAAGAACTTAATTCGTTCTGGAGGTATGTTCTTAACCCGAAACTGTTCTTAACCTGAAGCAGCACTTTAGCTAATGGGGCCTCCTGCTGCTGCTGCTTGATTTCTGTTCTCATCCTGAAGCAAAGTTCTTAACCCGAGGTAATATTTCAGGGTTAGCGGAGTCTGGAACCTGAAGCGTATGTAACCTGAAGCGTATGTAACCTGAAGCATATGTAACCTGAGGTACCACTGCAGTTGACCCTCTCTGCTATGCAGGAAGGCAGAAGATCATCATGGTTAGAAGACCATGGCTAGTGCACACCTGACCCTCTTCCCCAACCCCCTGCATACACACGCCTTTCAGGAGTCATGCTGATACAAAGGCTGTCACAACCACAGACCTGCCCTTCCGTCAAACCAGTCCTCCTGTCTCTGGCACACACCCTTATTTCAGATACCTATGGGTGCGCTTGCCTCTCCCAGGCCGTCTTGCTTTACTCAGCCAGGGATTGTGTTTGTGCCTCAGGCTACTAGCAGCCAAAGGCAGGGATGCAACCTGCCAGGCTAGTTTAGTGGGAACACGCTGCTTTTCGTCACTTTCAGGGTCTTAACAGAAACCAATCTGGGGATCAGAGAAACGGCAGGGAACCTGCCACCCAGTGTAGCGTAGAGCGCCATTCCCTCCCCCCCCCCGCCCCCAGCCTCACAGAGTCTCCAGTTTCGTTCCTCAAAGGGATTCTAAAGCATCCTTTGAATTCCGTGCCTCATCTCCTTCCATGTTTGCTTGGTTCTTAAGAAAAGTAAAACATCTCGTGGCACTTTAAAGACTAATAAACTTGTTATAGCTTAAGCTTTCATGGACTACAGTCCGCTTCATCAGATGCATGAAGCGTTAGCCTGAATTTCTGCAGTCTGTGAAAGATTTTGCCTCGATAAACTTGTTAGTCTTTTAAGGTGGCACAAGATTCTGCTGTTGTTTTTCCTCAAGAGACTAGTGCATCTGCCGCTCTGACTAGTGCATCTGCCTCTCTGAGAACTGGTTATTGGTTATTGAGTATTCTGCTTTTCGTAATGATGCCGAATGTGTCCACAGCCACTTGTAAGCTGTGCCTCCTTTCTTTGCAGAGTCCCTACAGTTCCTGTGAAAAACCTCAATGGCTCAAGCCCAGTCAATCCAGCACTGGCAGGTAAGAGAATTAGGGTCACTGTAGGAACAGAGCAGTCATCAGTGACTCATGGCTATTGCTTGGCCTAAATAAGGGATATCTGAGGAGCTGTAATAAGTTTGATGAGGGTTTGGCGTTAGTCTGTGCAGTATGTTTATTCAGTGAATGCAGAGGATATGCAGAGTTGACATATGGGTTAAAGACAGGAGTCACGCCTAAAGAAATATTAAAAGGGAGGTAATGGTGACATTCTTTGGTGAGGTAGAAAACCTGTGGCCCTCCAGATGTTTTTGAAATGCAACTTTAATCATCGCTGTCCATTGGCCATGCTAGCTGAGTTGGGGGTCTAAACAATATTGGGGGTCCACAATGGAATAAACACTGCCATGGGCAGGAAGTGCAGCTTTAAAGAAGTGCAGCTTTAATTTCCATGATGGACTGCAGGATAGTTCAAGCTACCTTGTTGTCACTGTTGTTAGTAATTGCAGAATAATTACCACACAGGCTTTTAAGCTTTGAATTTTAATTTGCAGATAAAAAATAACAATTGCTTAGGTCTCCAAGGATTATCAGCCTTTACCTCTGACTTGCCTGTTACATTATGATATTGTAAGAGCTAGGAATGGCCGAAAGGCACCATCTTGCCACCCCACCCTCATAGATGAAGGTGAGATCCAACTCACAGGGTACCATAAGCAGAACACTTGTGGTCTCCTCTAGATAAGGGCTTGCAGAGAAAATGAATTTGGAGAGCACCATGTCCTTGCAACGTAACACGGAGGGTGTTCCCTTTGTTAATGAATGGTTTTGGCCTAAGGAGGCAAATGGATGGAGAAATATGGAGCATTGGGGGAGCGGACAGGGATATGTTTTGGTTTTGGGGGGAGCAAAGAGGAATCAACTTCTCAAATACCCCTCTGTCCCACCCAGGCATCACAGGGATCCTCATGAGTGCTGCTGGTCTGCCGGTCTGCCTCACTCGACCCCCAAAGCTGGTTTTGCATCCCCCTCCAGTCAGCAAGAGTGAAATCAAATCCATCCCTGGGATATCCAATACTTGCCGCAAGACCACCAAAAAGCAGACCAAGAAAGGTAAGAATGGATAACCTCTCTACCTTTTCTCCTCATGGGATTCTAAAACTGGAGTACCAGGGGACCACAGCAGGACCTTAACGGTGCCCAGAAGCCATCTGCCTTTCACTTGTCAATCTACACAGTTCAGACCACACAGAGCACTACAGAAAGTAACTCCATCCAGACATCACGCCAAACCATGGTTTACAGTAACTACAGTTAAAAGTCAAGCCATGGTTTGAGATTCCATCTGCAACGGAAAATAAAGCCTTAGTTTTGCTGTGTAAAGCTCACACCACGTTCTTCGTTCAGCTCACTCTCCTCCTAACAGAGCCCCTAGACGCAGACCCAAGGTGTTCATGACTGATTCCCACCCCCATGTGCTGCTACATTATCACTGACTGACTCCTTCTGAAGGGTTTAGAACAGGACGGTGAGCTAGCTGAGGACTTGCCCACTCAATAGCACTCATCTTTGCAGATCAGACAGTATGTTCCTGTCTTAACACTCATCAGTCTGTGGACCATTCCCCTTTCTCCGATTTCTTTCCTGGCCCTTTATAGCTGCCACCCAAACCTTGTTCCAATGCAAGGATAATTAGCGTAGTGCGCTCCAGATGTTGTAATACTGCAACTACCACCACCCTTCACTATTGCATGTGCCCCAGCAACATCTGGAGGGCACCACATTGGTTCTAAACCATCATTCTGCTTTCCTGCGCTGCTCCCGCTTCTCTGTCCCATACCAGTGTGTGGCTGCATCTGTTGATGGCCAGACAATGGCAGCTATCCAATCAGTGTTCTTCCAAAACATTATCCTGGACGGCTCCCAACTGCAGCATTACCTAACACATGTCCCCTGCTGTTGACTTGCACGCATCCTCCACCCCCTCATAATTTCCTGGCCCAGCTGTAGCAAGCATACTGTACTACACTCCCTGTCTTTCTCCAGAGTACTTCACATCTGCTTGACAGGTAGTAGTAATCCAGGAAGGGACTCCATAAGCCTAACCAGTTTCACTGGTGCCTGTTGCACATCTGTAAAGGAGGAAGGAGCAAAGAGCTGACAACAAAAGGGGCCTTGACATCGCATCCAGCACACCTCATACAATGCTGACAAGGGCAGAAAGGCTTGCAGATAGGCTCAGAGATCCAGAGCAGAGCACTGAAATCGGTTATCAGTTCTAAGGATCAACCCTGGAGCATTTTAATTAAGAATATATTAAGATGCCCCAGAGCACGTAGACTGCATTTCCCTCATCAGGTTCCTACAGAATCCCACACATCAGGGATCAGCCTGAAGGGTTTCCTGATAAGGGGGTGGTGTTCTTGGACACTCTTTGAGTTCCAGCGTCTCTTTCTCTAGAAACAGAAAGGCTCTTGCTAACAACACGACACTCCCTTGCTGTCTTTTCCCACATGGCCAGCTTAAGGCTGCAGTGCTATACACCCTTCCCCTCAAGTAAGATCAGTTGGGCTCAGTTGGGCTCATTTCTGAGTAGGATCCAGCTGCAATTGATCTGGCCCACAGGCAGCTGTTTAGTATTTTGCAATTAAATTCCTGTGAATGCACTCCACCCCCTTCCCACCTTACATTTTATAAAGTCATATGAAGACATCAAGTTCTTGGAAAGAGTTGAGTTTACATTCTTAGACGCACAAAATAGAAAGAAAAAGCTTCGCTGTGAACTCAGTAGAAAGTAGGGGGAAAAACATGGCAGATGTTTAATGATTTTTTTTTAACTCTCTGAAACAAAGAACTCTGGGAAAAAATTATCAACAGTGGATTGAACAAATGGGGCATGCAACGGAATGTTGCAGCGTGGGGTGCCCTTGTGGGGTGCTTGCAGACTGTCACTATTCTGCCAGAGGCATTGCAGCCGTCAGCAGAGAAAAGGTTCCCTATCTCTGGTCTTGAGCATGCTTGCTCCTTTGTCAATCTGCAAAGATCCTTTCAGTGTCCAATCACATCTTGGCTTGCTTACCTCTTGAGATGCTTGGGTGGAAGCAAGGGAGGCTGAAGGTTGCTGCCACAAACAAGAACCAGGTCTGCAGTGGACCTGGAGATAAGTTAGGAAAAGTTGCTTAGCCCAACACTGGACTGCAGCCACAAACTGCACAGAGTCTTTTTCAGGAACACTAAAGCACCCTGGGAGGGACAGACAACAGGCACATGACCCTTGCACACATGTGAGTTTGCAGGGGGGCGGTAAGAGTGGAAATGTGAATTAAGGTTTCAAATTGGAGTCTTACCATTCTTGCTCATGTTTCTTAATTAAAAAAAAATGTACTGATGTTACTGGTCCTATTTTAATCTTGCATGGTGGAAAGATCCATCATTAGCACAAACTGGGCTAGGGGCAGATCAGAGGCAAAGAGTCATAACTGTAGTACATTGATCAGGACATTGTACCAAACTCTCCACTTCAACCCATGGCTTCTGATTCTGGTTTGCCAGCTAATTGCAGACTCTGGTTGGTCAGTTTGGATATCACGCATAAACCATGATTGAGGTACACAAACCTCAGTATAGTGGCATCTGGATTGAACGAGTATATGCAAAGTAAATAACTCCAGGTGACAGAGGAAGGGGGCAATATAGCCAAGTTGCACAAAGCCAGGGATGGCAACTTTGATTTCTCTTGTGCAGTCTTTGCCCTCCAAATTTCTCATTCCCCCTTTGTTTCCCTGCCTTTCACCTTGTTGTATGCCTTCAGCTTGCTGATCTTCTCTTGTTTCCTCCTCCTTGTCCAGGTAAAACCCCAGAGGAGGTGCTGAAGAAATACTTGCAGAAGGTGCGCCATCCCCCAGAAGAGGCAAGTCTGGTTTTTTACGTACAGCATGTGTGTAGTGTAGTACAGCAGCTAACGTGTTGGACCCGGGCATAGGTTTTATTGGTGCAGGCTCCCCACCCCCCCACCCCACATGCAGAGTGTCGGTTGCTTTAACCTTACTGCAACGAACCATTTCTCTAGCACTGAGCATGTGCTGAGCATTGTTGAGAGCAGAGCAGGCTTCTCCTGAAAGTATCATAATTTCTATCGCACCAATGACCTGGCTAAGGCAAGGGGACATGGACTGTCAAATAGCATGGGCTACAGGAAGCTGCTGCTGGGCCTCCTAGCTCCACCCTATCTGCACTCATTGACTGGCAGTGGCCCTCCAAGGTTTCAAGCAGGATCCTATCCCAGCCCTGCCTGGAGATACCAAAGATTGACCCTGGGGGCATCTGCATGTGATGCATGTGCTGATCCTGATGTAGATGTTTATTCCCCCTTATGTTCCTGATGTAGGTCTTCGCTCAAAACCCTTCTTCCCTGGCAGGGAGAGAGGCTCCATTTTGGGGTCCACCTCAGGTGCCAAAACATCCAGAAGTCAGGGATGATGGGAGTTGTAGTCCCAATGACTTTGGGAGGTCACAGATTCCCCATTTGTGGCATGGAGTAATGGCAGCGGCAGGAGGTGGCAGGTGAACTTCACGCCGTTATCTCATTGCTGCCGAGAATGACATTAACGTGACAAGCGTGCCAGCCATTAGCAGGCTGGGTTTCCTTCAGGCGAATGTTTCTGTGTGTGCATATGTTTTGCTCTTGTGTTCAACGCCATTTCTCGCCCCTTTTCAGGACTGTACCATCTGCATGGAGCGCCTCTCCGCCCCTTCAGGGTACAAGGGCCCTCAGCCAGCCATCAAGCCAGATTTGGTGGGAAAGCTTTCCAAGTGCGGCCACATGTACCACCTCCACTGCCTCGTGGCCATGTACAACAACGGGAACAAGGTGCGTTCCTGGGGTGGGGAAGGCGGAGGCCTGCAGTCTCTCGAGTGGGTACCCATGAATTCTGCCCAGGACTGAACAGCTCTTTTGGTACTTGATAGTACTGACCGGCACCGATATTGCTGATATAGGAAAGTCACTGTGATGTGGCTTATATATTTATTATTTGGTTAGTTAATTTATATACCGCTGGGGCGGGGAAAATTTCTCAGCTTGAGGGCCACATTCCCTTCTGGGCAACCTTCCAGGGGCCACATGAGTCTGGCCAGATGGGTGGGTGGGGCTGCTCACCTATCAATCATCTGATATCACAATGATATCAGTAGATGGAACACTTTGAAGTTCAGAAGTCAGGACTTCAAAGCACCATGTGCAGCCAATCCAGGAGGCTTCAGCTAATGCTTCAGCTAATGCTTTCCCTTGCCAGTGCATAAGCAAGAGAGCCCTTTACGGCTCCCGACTATGCATCAGCAGTTGCATCCCTACCTGCCCCACATCTGACATCACATAGGGCATCAGGTTTGGGGCAGGTGGGCATGGTTTGGGGAACACTATCTCTTGGAGCATATTTGAACCCCTGGCAAACCAAACTTGGCCTGCGCTCTGAGGCTCCCCACCCCTATCATATAACAGGCCTCTTTAATGCTTCTGTCTTTAATGAGTCAGAACCAAGACTGCATGTTCTGCACTTCTGTGATGGCATGACACAAGCAACCTGAAAAGTGACCTTTTATTAAAACAAAAAATACGTTTCTGAGCCGTTTGGCTATGGAGAAAAAAACATACAGAGGAACAGGGTATAGCTAGGAAATTGCTTAGAAGCCAAACAGTGATGGGACCTCAGTAATCTGCTAAACTCTTCGTCTTTCCTGCTTGGCTAGCAAAAAGCACTTTATATTGTGCAAATTAAGGGCAAGCGTGTCCCACTTATTAATGGCAAACACTGACTTTCCAAGGAATGTTGCTTTTTTTTTCTTTAAAAAGAGTGCATGCAAAGTACACTTAGTCCCAGTTGAAGCCCATGGTTTTGAGAGATTTAATTCTGGAATTCCATACTGCATTTTAAAAAGGCTGCAATAGCCCTAGTAACGTAACAGCTCTAACATGAAAACAAATTCTTCTGTGGGCAGACTTAAAACTCTTTCCTTTTGAGCTGAGCCCAAAACATTCCTGAACCCATCATCTTTCTGGAGATAACACTACTTCGCTCCCACTTTTCTTGGCTGCTTCTGCCGCAATCTGGCTTTTTTCCACTGGGGCTTAAAAATGTTTCACACATGTACATTTTAAAAAGATGACCTAAGATGTCTCAGCCGAATACCTAAAAGCACAAAAACGTGATGTGAAGGCCATCCATTCAGTGGTGGCATGTATTTTGCACACAGATCTTTGCAGGTTCACTTGGGTAACAGTTGATGGGAAAAACTTTTCTTACCAAGACTTTGGAGATCTACTGCCAGTTGGAATAGCGACAGGCTAAATTGGGTGGGGAGCCTAGGGGCCAGTGAAGGCAAGATTCACAGGGCTTAGATGTAAGACTGGGACTTGGAACCTAACCTAACCTTGCTTTGTGTGTTTGTGTTTCTCTACTTGGGGATGGATGAGATTGCAAAGTGCTTCCTACTTTTCTGGAAGAGGAGATAATAGCCGTCCATTCTTCCACCACCACTGCTGGCTCTTTGTGGCCGTGTGATTATAATGTCAGCCTGGGGTCTTTTTATTCTGTGCTGTTCTAAAATTATTGCCCAGCATTACAGCTTCCCTACTGTGCTTTTAGGATGGGAGTTTGCAGTGTCCAACCTGCAAGACCATCTATGGAGTGAAGACTGGCACCCAACCTCCTGGGAAGATGGAATATCACCTTATTCCCCATTCCTTGCCTGGGCACCTCGACTGTAAAACCATCCGAATTATCTACAACATTCCACCAGGGGTCCAGGTGAGATTCTGGCTTGGCCCTCAGATAGATCCTACTGTCTTATCTCCCAACCAGCTTCATGCTTAGAGACTAGTGGGACCTTTCTCATCCTGTGAACTTCCTTCAAAGATATTTGAAAAGTCACATTCATTTTCATGTGCATCTCATTCTTTTTAGGGACCAGAGCATCCCAATCCTGGGAAGAGCTTCACTGCACGGGGCTTCCCTCGACACTGTTACCTCCCAGAGAGTGAAAGAGGCAGAAAGGTAAGTGGCATCTTCGTGCTGTAGGAATTTTAAGCACAACCATTCATTGTGGTTATACCACTTAGCTTTACAGTAGCGTGTTGGTTCTGCTCCATGTTGGCTTTACCTTGATGCAGGGAGGACACTCTCGCCATGCAAACTCGCAAAGTGTATTTCTTACCTATAATATTAAGGGGGCTGTTAGGTTATTCTGTTGTTTACCTTGGGCCACATTCTGCTACCCTGTTCTACTAGTAGAAGCCAGCACAAGGACTCCTGCTAGCACAATGATGGGGCTTCAACCCTCCTCCCCATTTATACCCTCAAATATACTCTGGAGGGTCACAAAGAACCCCTGTAACAGTTTGCAGGGGTGGTGTGAGGATCAGTGCGCACTGATGAAATTATCTCCTTAGCACTACATTGAATAGCATGCTTTGAAACCAATATTTTACCTAGGAGTTTTGGGGTTTCTGTCATCTTGTTCTTGATAGTTTCATGAGGATTGCCTAATTGGTGGGCTGTATCTTTACCCCAAATGACACATCACAGGTTTGCCCATACCAAACACGTAGACACTTGCTGCTTTCTGTACATACTTTGTTGTTTTTAACAAGAACGACAGTAACAAACTTTAATTTAAAATTGTACCGCAGCAGTTTTTGTGTGAGACTGTGTATCGAAATACCATATATTTCTTTCCAGCTAGGACTTAAAAGGGATCTGTTTGGCCCCAATAGCAGATTGAAACTGACAAAAGAAATGGTAGTGGAGGGTTAAAAGCAGTTTTTGAATGTTTGTTTCTTTTCAAACAAAGCATAACTTTGTTGCAGATTGACTCTCAGTCCTTCAGCAGAAGCTCTCTGCCTCTGAAAACTGGGGGGTGGGGAATCTCCTGGTTTTGAAGCTGAGGTGGATAATTTTTCAAATTCCCACATATTATTGAATTGAAGCATGAAATCCTCTTTCCTGAGTTATGGTGCTGCAGAATGGCTTATTATAAGTGGTATTAATGTGACATAGAAAAGATCATAGGAAGATGGGGGAAAGTTAAAACAGAGAGAATAGGAGGGGAGAGTTTGATACAGCAGGATAATAGGCTCATAATGGCTTCCTAATTCATTTTTCGCAAAAGCCTGCTTCATGTTACAGATTTGGCCTGTACATGCTTACACTTCCAATGTGTGAGGCACTTCAGTTCATTAAATGAGTACTGTGGAAACACACCATGAAGAGCTACCACTGTTGCCAGCTCCCCTACATTATGGGGAGCATGCTAGAAGTACCCCAAAGGTTCACCAATGACAGTGTGAGGACAAGGTCTAGAAGATAAACCATTAAAAATGTCAATGTTCAGTGACGTTCTCCGTCTTCCCTGGTTGAAGCCCTGTTTGTTCATATATGCTAGGATGCCATCTTCCCTACTCTCACTTTTTTAAAGTGGATTAAATATCAGTGGGGAAAAGGTGACCCAGTTTGCCTGGAGAAGTTCTTCACTTTGCAAGATATTCCCCACAGTCTTTGGGGGGAAATGGTGCCTTACCTTTCTTTCTACATGCTTGAGGCTATAACAAGATTTCCCCTTTTGGAAGAAAAGGGGTCCTCTTGTCTTTCGAAGTTTAAGACATTTTGCACAAGGCCCTTGCATTGGGCACAGTCCCTTGCTTCCATTCCCTGTGCACTTGTAGTGTTAACACACCTTTGCTACAAGCATGAGATTGTGGAATCTTGTCTATACTTATTGAACGGATTCCTGCACTAATAGCATCAAGTGTTTGCAAGTGCATCAGATGCACATTGTGTGTATTTTAGGGACGTTTTTAATGGTTGAAGTTTCATTCTGTTTCTAGTGTTCTGTTGGAAGCCGCCCAGAGTGGCTGGGGAAACCCAGCCAGGTGGGTGAGGTATTAATAATAATAATAATAATAATAATAATAATAGCACCTTTGTGTTGGAGGCCATATGAATACAAGTTACCAGATATCATAAGTGGGGAAAGTGCTGTTATACGCAGGTCCTGCTTATGAGCATCTGGTTGGCCACTGTGAAAACAGATGCTGGATTAGATGGGCCTTTGGGCCTGATCCAGCAAGGCTCTTCTTCTGCGAAGTACTCTGTGCTACGAGGCTCTAGGCTTTGGGAAAACCCCTCCCCATAACCCCTTTCCCCTCTTCTTCTTCCCACTGGCAGGTGCTGAAACTGCTTCTGGTAGCCTGGGACCGGCGTCTGATCTTTGCCATTGGCACCTCAAGCACCACGGGCGAGTCGGACACGGTGATCTGGAACGAGATCCACCACAAGACAGAGTTTGGCTCCAACCTCACGGGCCACGGCTACCCTGATCCCAACTACCTGGACAATGTGCTGGCTGAACTGGCTGCTCAGGGCATCACGGAGGAGAGTACGCTCCAGGAGAAGGATTGAGGGCGCGGGAGGAGGGGAGGGGAGGGGACAGGCTTTGCCCTGCCTGGGGCGGAGCTACGAAAAAGAGCCGGCGTCCTGTGGATCAAGCTCCCTCTCCCTTGTCCACTGTGCCTGCTCTGCCCTCTCTGCCTCTTGTTGCCACAGCCACCACCTGCCTCTTAAAAGGCCTGGTTCCGCCTGCCCAGCAGTCCGCTTAGGGGCTCGCTCAGGTTGGAAGCCGCCAGTCCTACAGCATTTGGCTGCTGGGAGCAAACGAGCCTGGGAAAGTTCCCCCCACCCAGCTTGTCTTGGGCCTGGGCTGCAGTGTCCTGATGAGGCCTGAGGTTATATTAACCTCAGCACCCAAAGCTGCTTTTATAGTTAGGAGCTCAGATACCTGGCCTGGCATTTTTGTGGGGGGAGGGGCAAATAAAGACCCACTTTAAATTCTGTGAAAGCAACAGAAGGTATGCCTTGGGGGCAAGCAGGCGTCTCGGGTGGCAGCACTCGGGAGCCAAGAAAGGTGGCTGTCCGTCCCAAAGGCACTGAGGATTAAAATTGGCCCTGGTCTCTCTTTCTTGCCCAGCTAGGTGCCTGGTTCTATGTTGTCATGTCACTGCTTTCATGTCGTGGCTCAGTGTGAGTCAGAAATGTACTGTTTGCTGGTCTGGTGCTCTCTGGCACTCTCATACGTTCTGAAGCTGCCTCTCCGTCCCTATTTTAAGATAGCTAAGAAGCAGGCCCACTTCCTGCTAGAGCCTGCCCCAGTTCCTTGAGGAAGCAGGCTGGGAATTCCTTCTCTTGGATGCATTCCAAACTGGGTCAACTGTAGGCAAGCCCTTGCATCCGACTCAAAACTTGGATGAGCAAAATTAATGAATCACAGCCGGTATCTATACTGCATTAAGTGGATGCAGGAAACCCCTTGCTTCCCTGCAAGTTGGCATATTGGATCTGGCCCACACTTGCCTCTGGATAAAGTCGGTCCATTCCAGACTGAGGCTGGGAAAGTACACATTATATACCTTTAAAGCACATTTGCAGCCCTGTCTTTGGGGCCCTGTAGTTCACCCCTCACAGAGTGAACATTCCCAGCAACCTCTGACAAACTACAGTGCCCAGAATTCTTTGAGGGAAAGACTGTGCTTAGAATGTGCCTTGGAGGCGTGGTGTGCATGCAGCCCAAGTCTTGCTCCTGTGGCTGGATCTGCGCGATCCAGCTGGGCTCCTGGACTTAGCTAGGGTTTAGGTCAGGCCTCCCTGTCTCAATTGCATTTACTTCTCTCCAATACAGAGCCATGTGCCCCGATCTCTCTTTCTGTTTGTGAATTGCATCCCAGGGGGGTTGTTTTATGTCCGATCTGTTTCTGTTGTGGGTTGGAGTGAGAGGCTTTACAGAAGTGGTGGAAGGCAAGACACTTTCAGGTTTTGCCTCCTCACACTCCTGAGGTGGGTTCTTTTGAACTGTTTGTATGGGGGAGTCCCCTGGATACTGATTTGAATTTATTTACCTCATGTTTGGGGGGTTTGTCGTATATATGTATATATTTATATATATATTTGTAATGTATGAGAAAGGCTTTGAGGCTAGGATGTGTAATACAATGGTACTTAAGTTAGACCTGGAGGCTAAGCGCAGCTTGTGATAGAGTTTGCCATGGCACAGAGCAGGGGGCGTCCGTGTGGGGCCCTCCCAGAAGTTTTTTTCTGAACTACAACTCCCATCATCCCTGACTGTTGGCCATAGCAGCTGGGGTCGATGGGAGGTAGCGTCATGCGGCACCTGCAGGGCACCACATTGGCTCTCCCAGGAAGAGTGACAGCCCTTTTCAAACGGCTGTGCCATTTGGGTCCCTGCCCTTCCCTGCCCATCCCTGATAGTTGAATAAAATATTTTGACTTTTTTGTATGTGCGAAGACCTTAATAACCCATGTGAAATCTCTGTGGGGCAGGCTCGGGTGAGAAAATAAAAGAGATGGAAAGTGTGAAAGAGAGCATGTGGGAATAGGAAGGAGCATGTCTGTAGAGATGTCTGACTGCATGCTTGTCTGGTTTGGTGGCGGCAGGGTGTGTGTGAATGTGGAGGAGCCCAGAGACATCACAAGGGTTGTTAAGTGTGCTGTGATTTTTTAAAGAGGCCCTTAATAAATCATCAGGGGCTCCTGGGTACATGTCACCTGGAGAATCTCCTCTTCCTTTCTCATCAGCACTCCTCTCAAGAACATGTTGGCATTCAGCTAGGTTTTACTTGGAATAGACGTATTGACATTAATGGTCCTAACTTAGTCATCGTCAATGGGTTTACTGTGTGTAAAACTTGGTTGAGTGCCAGTCTAAGCTTTTTAATTTTTAACTCAGTTACTACATCATCATCATCATAAAAAAAATTTAAATTTATATGCCGCTCATCTGACTGGGTTGCCATCATACATTATGTAGGGATGCCATCCTGAATAAATCTTGCCAGGCATTTCCTTCTTGGATTTCCCCCTAATAGATTTGATTTGATTGAGTGGTTCAGTTGGCAGGGGGGAAAAACCCGTTTGGGAGTTTACCCAGCCGTGTTAAACTCTCTAAATGCAACCTCTCTCTGCCCCACCCTCAAATACACACACACACCATGGCATTCCCTCAAATGTGATTTAGCCTCCAGGATAGAGGAGAGATTTTGAAGGGCAACCTTCCAGCCACGGTCATCTCCCAACTGAAGGGAGCCAGTTTGCCTTTTATTTTACTTTTGTTTTGGCTGAGTTACTTCTTCCTTGAACTCTCCAGCCGTTGATAATTTTGTACTTCGTAGGGAATGACAAGCCTGATGTGACGCTGTTGTCGAGGGCGATGGGGGGAAGAGGGTCTCTCTTTTCCACTTTTTGTCCTCTTCAAGTCCCAAAGCAGGTTGTGGTGGGGATCTGGTAGTGGTATTGGGGATGGGGGGGAGGGCAGGGTGAGGGGGAAGCCATGATGTATATTGTTTGTTTGTTGTTTGTGAACGGTGCGTTTTGCCCGTCTCTAGTTTGTTGCATTGCGTCAGGATGGCACCCTTGGGGGGGCGGGTACAACAATAAAAGGAAAACTCCACTGCCAATTTTGAAGAATGTCTCGTGTCTGTGTTTTCTGAGTCTGTGAGTCTGTCCTTTGTTCATTGTTGGTGCTTCCTGAGCAGGTGAATGTGTGCAGTTTACTTAGCTGGGAGAACATTGGCTTTCAAACAGCCACAAGGGGGAAGTTGCTTCAGGGAAAGCAAATACTTCGGCTTGAGATTGATGGAAAACCAACTCACTACAGTTAACACAACTTGAAGGAAAATGTTTAGATCCAGTGAAGGACTTCTAATTCTTGGATTTTGGACAGAATCAAAATCTTTCATTTGTAGGTGTCAGAAGGGAGGGAAAGAACTGAAGGAACAAAACAGGATCATCTTGCTAAACTTCTAATTTGAGTTGGATCTAATCTTGGAATCTGTTCGTACTCGCTGTTCATACTTCAGATTGCCAACTTTTTTCTGAGATACTGTGCCATTAACAGCTGCATGGCCTGCAGGAATCAAACAGGTGCACCTTCTCTTTCTCCTCTCCCAATCCTTACGATGCCGTGCTGGAGAAATTTGGACATGCTGGAGAAATTGGGAATGCCTGCCTCTGATGCAGTGGTGAAAGGTGCAAAGCCTGTCAGGAAGAGGGTTAGAAACCACAAGCTCATCCCTTAGGTGAGCTTGGACTGACGGGAGCTGTGGTCTAAGACATCTGGAGGCACCAGGTTGGCAAAGGCTGCCTTAAGATTACACTGGTGAAAGTAGACTGTTCTCTCATTCCAATAAAGAACGCACAGCCGTTCTTGTCATATCTATTCCATGTGCTGCCCTGCCAAGCACAGAATTTGCCGTGTTGGTTACCATTTGCCATTTCAATATTTTGGTTTTAAACTTAAAAAAAACCCCAGCAGGTTTTGAGTCTCTGCCTCTGTGGTTGCCAGGAAGAACTGGAAATTTAGTGTGCGGTGTTTTATATTAAAAACTCGGAAACCAGGGTGGGGCTCGTCTAGGCCCCGAAGGTTGAGGGGGATGCCTCTTCACACCACTGCACAGCTACATGTGACTCTCCCACTGTTTCTTTCCTGAGCCTTCTTGGCTAGCTAATTCCCATTCCTTATTATCACATGTTTCATTGCCAAATAATTCCACACTGTGAGATAGCTTGCCTAATTAGCCTCTATTTTCGCTATAAGTAAATATATACCAATATATTTCACACACCTCTAATGGCACAATTTCATTTTTCTGAGTGCAGAATCCAGAAATAGCACATAAAACACTGGTGAGTTCTAGCTGTACAAATTCTTTCCCACTGATCTACTACTTGTGTGTGGTTTCCTCTCTTTGTTTACATGAGATCTAAGTGCCTACATCCTTTCTTATGTCCTTTAAAACTGATTCCCTCCACCAGCTTGGAGAAATAAGCAATAAAGCAGAACCAAATGGGAGCAACTTTCTGAAAAAACGACGATATTCATTGATGGCTCCCTTAATACAAGACGTTCATTCCCTTCAGGCATGTTGCATTGCATGTTTATGAAAAAGCACTATATATATACATAAATTTTGCATTCAAGAGGGTTTTTTAAAAATAAAATATATTGTTATATATGGATACATGCAGTTGCCTTTACTGGATCAAATAAAACCAAAAATTTAATATACTGTTAGTAACCTGCCTTGGTTTGCAGACAAATCAGTGGCTGACTCATTGACAGAGTCTGGAAGAAGCATTTCCTGCCATCCTTTTCCGGGAGGATATATGTTAATAGAGCATAAGCTGCTGATGGAGCACAGAGGAGCTGTTCTCAATAGAATAAAATCTTGCTAATGCACCAGGCCAGTGTGTTCAAAGATGCACTTGTGGGGGGGAGAAAATCCTTTTGCCGAAAGAGAAAAAGCCCTTGCAGCTCCTTTGCTGCAAGTCAGTGCTTTTTATAGCTGAACAAGGGCTGAATCTTGAAGTTACTTGCATTCTCTCTTCACATCCCCCTTTTCTATTCTGCCACTGCCCCAGGCTTTGTGTGCATGTGACAATATAAGCATGCTGCCTCTCCCATCTGAACAGCTCAAAGTGTTTCCCCAAAGTAGCTACGCAGCCCCTCTCTTCTACCTGGGAAGTAAAACTAGGACTTGCACAAGGTGTTACCCTGGTATTGTTTCTACAGCAGTGCTGGTAAAAAAAGTAAAGAATGCAGAGTCTGCTCCGCCTGACAGTGTGTGGTGGTGGTGGGGGAAGTGTCCTTGTTAAGCTGCACCCTGTTAAACTTAAAATCCTGTTAAGCTTTTCAACTTCTTCACACTGGGGCCCGATCAGGGCGGGGAGCCTTTTTCAGCCTAAGGGTCTTCTCCTGTCCTGTCATCATCAACCCTTCGTGACACCCCATGGGACCACCATCTTAACCTGTGCTTTATTTGCAGTATAAGCAGGTATCCTCAAGGAAGGTGAATTTAGGTGCTGTGTGTGGCTGTATATCCCATGGGCTGGACTCCAGCTCTGATCATCCCTGGCCATTGGCTGTGCCAGCTTGGGCTGATGGGATTGGGAGTTGGACAGCATCTGGAAGGCCACACCTCTGTTGTAGTCTAACTCCCCAGGAAAAGGCATGTGCCCCTTATGCCCATAGATGAGGTTGGGGGGAAACTCCTATCAGAAATGCAACGCCACAAATGCCCACTCACACTATAAAGAGCTCACAACCCACCTACTCTCTGCAGTCAGAAACATCATAGCCAGACACTGGAGGAACCTGTCAAAAATAAATATGGGACGCTGGTATCAAGTAGTATGGGAAACGGCCTTATTAGAAAAGCTAACCAATAGACTGAAACTGACATGGGGAGAAATAGAAGAGGATGCCTTCACCCCAGTATGGCTCCCCTTTATCACAAACACAGCCCAACAAGACAACAACAAGAATGACAGCATGTGAATCAATATGGCTAACTTAACCCAACAATGCCCTCCCACGCACAAACAAATCCCACTGCAGCCAACCAAAGACAATCAGCCACACACTATGCCACCCCCAACCTCTCTCACCACCAAGGAAACAACAAGCGAATAGAAAGAGAACCTACCCAAGTGACGCTGACACAAAAACCCCACACATGCACTAAGGAAAATAATATAAGATTTACCACCTCATCCCCTCTCACCCCCCTTTTCTTCCCAACCCTAAACTGCATATAACACCAATGACTCACAAAAAAATGTAACTGATCTGTAGAAAACACAGCCTGAAGAAAGAGACAATATGTGTGCTTTTGTAAACAAAGAAAATATTTAATAAAAATTATTTTAAAACAAAAAAGAATGCTGGAGAGCTGCTGCTTGTTGGAAGAGGCACTTCTGATCTAGGTGGACCAAAGGATTCAGCTAAGTATATGGCAGCTTCCCAATGCCCTGAACGTAATGGAAAATGCCTATGGGAGCTTCTGTGCTTCTGCTTACTCAGAAAAGTTAGAGAAGAGGAACAAGAGACAGTAGGAGGAAGAAGCTCATAGCCATGCACTTGCAGCAAAGCACATTAACATACACTAGCCTTCTTTGAACTACAGTTCCCACCAGCTGCTTCCAGTGTAGCCAACAGTCAGGACCATGGGTGTTCTAGTCCCAAACAGCTAGAGGGCAGCAGGTTGGGGGTGACTGACATACAGCAGCATTCAAGTGTCCCTCCAGATGTTGCTGGACTACTACTCCCATCATGCTGGCTGGAGCTGATGGGAGCTGGAGTCCAACATCATCTTCAGGGCCACAGGTCCCCATCCTGATGTAATTGATAGTAACACACACACACACACTACACTGTTTGTCTTTCCTGCTCCTGCTCAACCTCTATTTCGCCCATGAAATCACAGGCATTGTTGCTTGAGGTCAAACTCCTCTCCTCTTCCCCGATGTTTTTGTACTCCCTTTTCTTGTACCTCCTGCACCCATAGACCGACAGGCCAATCAGGATGGCCAAGCCAGTGGTGGCACCAACAGTGACCCCTGCTGTCTCTCCACCTGAGAAGCTCCCACCAGCAGCGTTCATGTTGTGCAGATTGGCAGGGCTACCTATCTTCCACATCTGGGTCTGGGTGTCCTTGATCCAAACCTGGTCACCATGGCTGTTCATCACCATGACGGTGTTGGTGGCAGTTAAGCTCATGACAGGTTTGCGAGTGAAGGGAGGGAGCCGGGCTTGGGGTAAAGCCCCTTCCGTGAAACGTCCAGCCTGGACACAGTATTGCACTTCACAGCCATCACTGATCAGAGCCAGGTGCTGGCCAAACCCTGCTGGGCACCTCTTGGAGTAGGGGTCATCATCTGTTCCACGGTGGTGTCCCGTCAGCGGGTTTCCTACCTGGCAACTGAAGAACCCCCCAAAAGGAATAACGTTCCTCTGTGCCCGGGCATCGTTGCTGACGCAGATTACGAGCTGGTCCAAGAGCTTCAGCTGGTAATAGTTGGAGGGACAGGACTGGCTGTTGGTCATGGGGTTGGGGCTCTGGGCACTAAAGAGGCCTCCAAAAAGGAACCCTGACTGTTGAGGGACGGAGTTTCTTGCTGCACACCAATAGGAGCTGAACTGGACCATGGAAGGGGTGAAAACATCGTTGCAAACCTGTCTGCAGAATATCCACAGCTTGCAATCCTGGCGGCACGCCAAGTGGCTATAGCCTTCCTCAAGTAGCTGGGAGCGCAGTTTGATTGCGTCATAACCCTCGGGGCAAGAGAAGTCTCCAGTGAGTGGGTTCCTCTGCTCCAGGTCCTGGCAGAGCACAGCAGCATCAGGACCTTCCAGCTGAGCACACTCCTGGTAGACTCCACCAAAGGTGAAGTTGGTCATTGTCCCTTCACAGCTCCCATCATCCATGTTGGCATAGAAGTTGAAGTTGGGCGAGGCAGGGTCGATGCAGCCAGGGTAGGTGTTGAATGTGTAGTAACGGGAGATGGCAGATGCCACAGTCCTGGACAATCTCTTCACGGTGGGGGTGGGCAATCCCGGCAGATTTCCTGGGGTGATGAAGAATGGCAGAGGCAAGCCTGAACGGTCAACAGCCACCAGCTGGTTGGTGGTGCTCTCCTGCCAAGTTTTCAGGGTAATGCCAGGGTAAAATGGTACCCCACCAATACTCTCCACCCTGGAGCTGGCGAGGTTGTCCTGATACTGCTGGGTGAAAGCGTTTTCTGTCGCCACTGAAGTGCTAATGTCAAAGTGGAGCATTTTGCGGAAAGAGGCCCCAGCCGCAGCTGTGACAGAAATTCTCGAGGACTTGCCATCTTTCACAAAGGAGGACTTCACTTGGTCCTCCTGGATGAGGCTGGCTCCAGCATCAACTCCTGTGATAACATGAGTGCCGTAGTTTAGGACCAAGATCTCTGCCAAGTAGTCAGCCATTCGTGTGTGGTTGTTCTCCAGATAGCTAGCAATGGTGACAAGCTGCCGCTGGAAGCCTTCATCTAACATTGCACCAGGGTTGAATTTCACAGTGTACATCAAATTCCTGACCTGAACCCTGGTGGTCACAGCCTGATCTCTCACTTGGTGGGTTTTCATCCTGCGGAAGTCAGTGGAAAACTTTCCGTTGATAGAAAGAAAGGACACCTCTGCATTGATGGAAACGGAGGTGGCACACTGGTAATCCATCCAAGACTCTATGATCTCTGAGTTCATCTCCAGGGAGCTCTGTTTACGGGCGATGGCAAAAAACTCATTGGGGATGAAATAAGCCCCATCTTCCGTAGTGCTGCACGAAGAGTAGTTTAGGCTGATCACTCTTGCCATATCCAGATTCCTCAGGTTATCCCAACCACCTCCAGGAAGAACTTCCAGTGCAGGAAGATTCAAGACCTGTTTGCATGCCTGAAATCCAGTGACAGAAGGACGGCACAAGGGTGATTCCTGTGCCCAACATACCCAAGTTATGAGCGTCAAGGAGAGAACGATCCCTGTCCAATTACTCATGGCTCGACCAGTGTAGAGGAAAAGCTAGCATCTGAATGGTCTCAATGTGCTTCTCTCTCTACTGCTTGTGGTAACCCCAGTAGAGGCTTCCTTCTTTTTATGCTAAGGTTGATCATTTAAAGAGGAAGCAAAACTATTCTGCTTTATACTTTCTCTTTCTCAGGATGGACAAACTTTAGAGCAGCCTCTGATAGGCTTACAGCACAATAAGAAATATAACTGGGGCATATTTGCAGAAATCTGTTTCCTTATTGCTTTACTGAGTAGGTATTATGCAGGTTCAGAAATAGGCACCTAGAACCAGGCAGCAACAGTTTCAATACATTGGTCCCCAAACAATAGCAGCTTTGCTGGAATCCAGAGGCAGATCCACTATGAAACTAATGAAATTTAAACTTCAGGGCCCCTAATCCCAGAGGGGCCCCAGAACCAACTTTAGTCCACATTGCTTAAAATGTTTGCGTCTAGCAGACCAAAGCTGAGTTGTGTGACCTGAAAACTATAAAGAATAGGATTTTTTTTTATTCACACCAGTGACTTTGACCTGGGAGACAATCCAGTACAGAAATTTTAATCAAAATCTGAGATGTAGTACAGTAGATGTTGTTTTTTTAATGTGATGGTTGAACAACCCCATTGAAGAAGATAACAGTGGTTACTCAGACCTTGTTGCTGGTTGCAAAGGGACTCCCATAACAGTTCAAACTACAGGGCCCCCAAAATGTCGGTCCACCACTGCTAGAACCCACCATTTCTTCTTCTCTCCAGAATTGTCTTAGCAACTTTTCTGGACAAATGGAAGCGGTTCCTTTAATAGCATAAGAAGAGCCTTGGCTGGATCAGGCCGATGGGCCACCAAGTCCACCATCCTGTTCTCTCAATAGCCTAAAGCAGGACCTGAGTGCAACAGCACTCTGCCCACTTGCAATTCCCAGCAACTGGGAAACTTCCTTGGTGCCACGTCACATCACATGCTCATTCTCCACCAGCCACGTTCAGAACTTCCTCCCACACCAAAGCTGGCCACCGATAATGGCCAAGGTGATCTGATGCGCTGATTCCTTGGCATCTGCTTTTAGTGCAACCAACACACAGCCAAGGAAGAATTTAAATAAAGGAAGAATTTAAATAAAAAGACAGAATGGCTCATAATTCTATGTGAGAGAATGGGCTTTGTGCCACGGGAAAAGAGAGAAAGAAGCTATGACTTCTTTCTTTCTTTGTAGTGACAGGAAGCAGCCATTTCTTATTTCTGCCTGGTGCCTTATAGTAAGAATTGCCAGGACAATGTTCAGAAGAATGGTTGTGGTAAGGGTTCGTTGACTGTGAATGGCTGCTTTCTGATCAGATTTCCTGACTATGCACCATGATAATACACAATACAGTATATCAGGGGTCAGCAAACTTTTTCAGCAGGGGGCCGGTTCAATGTCCCTCAGACCTAGTGGGGGGACGGAATATATTTTGACAATAATAACAGTGAATGAATTCCTATGCCCCACAAATAACTCAGAGAAGCATTTAAAATAAAAGGACACATTCTACTCATGTAAAAACACGCTGATTCCCGGACCATCCGCGGGCCAGAGTGAGAAGGTAATTGGGCTGGGTCCGGCCCCTGGGCCTTAGTTTGCCTACCCATGCAGTATATTATGGCAAGAAACTTACAAATGTTACATTCGTCTCTTTGGAATTACCCAACTGGGTTTTTGTTTCCTTGTTTGTTCTTTGCTGATGTGATTCGCTACTGGGGTGGGGTTACAGTTCAGATTGCTGCACTTAACTGCAGCCATGTTAGTAAAAAAGTGGAACTGAATCTGTTGCCAGCAGAAATGAAAGTGCAAGTGTTCCAGTCTCAGTTTGCAGTTGAAATATGTATGGGGGTGGTGGGCAGACAACAAAAGGGGGAAGGAACAGTCTGAACGGGAGGTGAGACTTGACATAAGTTGTTTTTATGTCATAATCTAATTATGCGATAGCCTTGATTTGAAATATTGCAACAGCCCCATTCATTTAAAAATGACTTTTAATCATTGTTTCCCTGTAGCAATTTGGTGCCACAAATAAAGGACAGGGCTTTTACTCGCTCCTGTATCATTTTGTCTTATTATTTCTAACTTCCTCATTTCAGAACAGATTGGGGCTGAGAAAGATTCAAAAGCAGAAACTGAAGCATGTGGTTAGTCCTCACAGCTGGCGACTTACTCATTTCTGTTATTGTGTTCTGACCTTTTCTAACAAGGTGGAAGTGAAATGATTCTTGAAATCTGAGGTAGCCAGCCTGGTGCTCTGCAGATGTTGTGGACGACACTACAATTCCCATGATCTATGCTCCTTTGTCATGCTGGCTGTGGCAGATAGGATTTCTAGTCCACCCCTGGTGGGCACCATATGGGCTGCTGCAGCTCTAGGTCAAACAGTTAGTTCATTTCATCCCTCTAAGTTTGATCTCGCTTGTGAGGTAGGCACAGGAGACTGGCACATGAGGGCAAATGGAGCACTGCCCACTAACCTCAGTCTGCCCTCCATCAGCTCCCACCTGCCTGCCTTCTTACAACTGCCCGTCAGCTTCCTCTACCAGTCTCAGTGTTACTCTTATGGAGTGCCACAGCAGAGCCGTCTTTCCCATAGGGCTTAATGGTGCATTGCGCCAGGGCGCCAACCTCTCAGGGGCGCCCCAGCAAGTGGGGGAACTGCACGGCTTTGCCGGCGGCCTCCCCTTTCCCTGCACGCTCGCCAGCTGTGCCCCTCCAACCATATGGCTAGCGGGCAGGCAGCTTCCCCCCAAGCCTCTGTGGGGATTGCTCTCCTCCTGAGGAACCTTGGGAGGGAAGCTGCGGTCTCCTCCCATGGAGGCTTGGGAGGGGCGCAACTTCACTCCCAAGCCTCTGCAAGGATTGCTCTCCCACAGCGCATGGGGGAGAGTCGCCCCCCCCCCGGATGGCTGGCAGTATGCAGCTATGGCCACCCCAACACTAGCCGTGGTAATTTGGGGCACTGGGCAGATATTTGCACCCCGGTGCTGCATCTGCTAAAGATGGCCCTGTGCCACAGCATGTCTTCTTGGTTTCAGCAAGCTCTCACAAGAGGTCCACAAGATCTCGTGAGAGGTCTGTGAGATTTCACCAAAACCTAGAAGCCACAACTTCTCCTCCCTTCTCTGGCAGTGGCAGAGGTAGGGGGACATCCCCCAGTCTTGGGGAAAGGGAGGAGTGGCAGCTTTTGGCAAGATCTCATGAGAGCCCCACAATATCTTGCTGGCCGCAAATGTTCTCTTCAGTTTCCAGGCAGGGTGTGGGTGTGCCTACGACAGTGCTAGAGAAGCAAGGAGAAGGAGCGGCAGTTTCCCACGTGATCTCATGAGAATCCTGCGAGATATCGCTTGGACCTGGAAGGGCACTGCCCCTTGGATTCTGCCACCGGGGGCAGCTGCCTCCATCTGTCTCACGGACAGGCTGGCCCTACATGGGAGAACTGATTTGGTACATTGTTGGGTCAATAGAAGTAACTCTAAAACATTTCAATGAATAATTTCTCTTCGTTCCCTGACCCCCAATTCATGGTGCAAAATCATACGAAACATTGGTTTGCACAAAACGATAAAGCAAAGCCAAAGTATGGCTTGCCAGGACCGCTTGAACATGACACTCACAGAGGGATGCTCACAGATACTTTGCTCCTCCTTAGTCCTTCTTGTTCTTGGTATAACACACATCCAAACCATACATTTAAAAGCACATTCCCCCCAAAGAATGCTGGGAATTATAATTGTGTGAGGGGTAAACTACCCTTCACAGGGTTCTTTTGGGGAAGCCGTGTCCTTTAAATGTGCAAGGAATGTGCTTTCAATGTAGGGTGCTCACACTCAAAGCACTTTAGAGGGAATCTGTTTTTACAATGCTGATTTCACTCTTTTAGCTGCTATTGCTCCTTACTGATGCTTGAGCACTGTGCTTGGATGCGCTGCTGGACTAAATTTTATTTTTGATGAGTTGTCAAGCAGTCATGAGAAGTTTTTAAAACTGAGGGGTAGTATAGAAAGATTTCAAATAAATGAGTCAAAATCAGTTGCTGTCGTCTTCATCAGTAATCTCTTGGGGTAAGTTTTTGCTTCCTTCAGTCATGTGGTAAAACTATTTCTGGATTGCACAGGCAGAGCCACATGACTGCCGGCTTTCCCGTAAATTTATCTATGAAAAGTGTGCAGGGGAGGGGAGGGACCAAGCAGGGAGTTGGAGTTGGAGTCATACAGAGACAGTTGAGCTTGGAGCTCTGAAAACATCTTTTAATTGCCGCGGGTGTATAGGGTTAGGATGCTCCCCACTGGCTTCTTCTGGTGGAGAGGAGGACCATTGATGGTGGTGGGGCTCTGCCATGAGAGAGGCCCCAGCTTCACTCTAGGGGGTGGAAAGCTATAGCAGGAGGTTCTTCTGCCAGCATTTTGGGGCAAGACACCAGGTAGACACCAAAGCCACATGGATCCTCTGAGGGGCTCAATTCTTGGGCTGCTCAGCTGTGCCAGTCTTGATCCTTGCATGTGCATATGATCCCAGCTGATCTGCCTATCTCTCTGTACATAGTTGCATTGGCCCAGCCCCAATGGAATGAGGTGGCCACCTCAAGCAGCTGGTTTGGGGGTCCAAAAAGGGCAGCAAATTGTGTTGTTGTTGCTGCTGCTGATGCTGTTGTTACCTTCACAAGAAGTGCTTGTGGCTCAGGTGCCAAAACAATTTGGTCTGCCTTGAGTACAAAGCATTTTGACTTGTGGGGAGGTCCCCATTTTCTGCTGCATCACAGGCAGCAAAATGTCATGGGCTGGTCCTACATGGTCCTATACGGTGCCACTCTCTCTGAGATTGCTTTTTCTTCCTATGCACAAATACTACATGGGCCTCTGCTCATGTGGCAACGCTGTTCTTCGCAACCAGGTTTTCATCCAGTTTAGCTGCCATGGCTTCCTTGAAATAACCCTGGGAACTGTAGTTTGGTGGGGATTCTCTGAGACGCCCTCACCCCCTCTGAGGTGGGCAGAATAAAGGAGAAAGTGCCTGGATAGCTCAGTTGGTTAGAGCGTGGCGCTGATAACACCAAGGTTGCAGGTTCAATCCCCGTTGCAGGGGTTTGGACTAGATCAGGCATAGGCAAACTCAGCCCTCCAGATGTTTTGGGACTACAATTCCCATCATTCCTGACCACTGGTCCTGCTAGCCAGGGATCATGGGAGTTGTAGGTCAAAAAATCTGGAGGGCCGAGTTTGCCTGTGCCTGGACTAGATGAACCTCAGGGTCCTTTCCAACTCTACAATTCTATGACTGGCCACGCTGCTGTGCAGCACACTTACCACACGACTGCTTACACTGACCGGGGGGAAAACAACTCAAATATTGCTGCCGCCACACAGAGTCCCTGAAAGAGATGAATCAAAGGCTTGGCAGCAATTGCTGTGCAACCACAAAAAAACAGCCTTGTGAAGGAGCCCTCTGTGATTACTTCTCGCTTATTTCATGGCTCAGAAAGACATCCAGAGGCTTAAACCCTGTCTCCAGTTAAACTCTACCCTCACCCCCAATGTGTGCTGGGTAAAACAAAAGCAGTGTGGAACAACAAAAAATGGCTGCTTTCCTCCTCACACCCTGCAGTCCCTCCAGCACTGAGCGTGGCATGCTGTGACCAGGTTGGATCTTCCCTCGGTCCGTTTTTGCACCCCTCCCCCAGCAGCCTTTGGACACACTCGCAGCCCCAGCTGTTCAATGGGCACACATAATTTCCATCAGCTACAGGAAACAGGTGCTCCCAGCAGGCAAAGAAGCAGTTGAGGGCTGAAAATATTGTGGAAGGGAAAGGGGGCTGGCGGGACTCCCCCCGCCACAGCCCTGACCATAAAAAAGGAGGCCAGAATGAGGATATGGCAACACACCGATTGTGCTGCTTTGCCACAGACTTCCACATATTGTTTCTGTCCCGTTCAGGTGATTGTCTGGTTTGGACTGCTTCTTTGAATCACTTCTTCTCAGGAGGATGAGAGGAGCTTTCCCTCACCCCTGGCCAGCACGGGCCCAACACCTGCCTGAAAGTTGCTGCACTTTTCTGACCAAAATGGCCGTTTTCAATTGCGGTATATGCTATGACTTATTTATAGACAGCTGGGTGGCCGAAAGCAGTGAGCAGCATATGAGTATCAAAGAAATATACAGTCGAAGTGCCATAAATTAATCAAAACAGCAACATTGCAACGCACCCATCCATCATACTTGTTGTGTGCTGGGAGCATCGGTTAACCCCGTTGCAGAGAAACAGAAAAACCACCAATTAATCCAGCCACCATGCTCCTCTCCCATCTCTCCTGAGAGCAGGTTCTCTCTCTCTCTCTGCAGCAAAATAGCCAGCAGACAAAACACTCATAAGCGCCACATTATAATAACCTCAGCATGCAACGCCAGTCCCCTTCTGCCTCTTACTCTGCGTGGGTGGGGAGCAAGGTCAACAACAGCTGGCCCTCACCCTGGAGCCGGAAACAGCTTCCCTCTCCCTTTGCTATGGCTGCACACACTCACCATACATTGAAGCAGGTTGAAGCACTGTCCCAGCCCACCCGCCTGCCCCCAAATCCAGGGGAAAATCTCACAGAACTATAATTAAAGTTATAGGGTGTACTCAGCCCTTACGTAGAGAAGGCTGGTGTTTGGGGATGGCTACATACCCTCCAACATTCCTCAGGTGAAAATACGGACATTTCTCACTCCCCTCAACTGATGCTCCTTGACACCCCCATGTCCGTCCCCCCCACAGAGCTTTTCCACCAACGGGATACAACACATACACCCTCCACCTGAGAAAACTCCTTAATCCCTATTCTATTCATCATCGTCAAACCTTTATTGGCATCACATACAAACATTCAGAATAAATAGGCCAGTGTGATCTCGTCACCATTTCAACAGTACAGTCGTTTGCCAAAGGGAAGAAGAGGCGAGCAATCTATTTCATCTCTGTGGGTCTCCAGCAAGGGCAGGATCCTGTAGCGTACTTCGGCGACAAAAAATCAATTAGAGGAACTTAGCACTGTCTTGGTGAGCTCCTGCATTCTATTCTATTCTATTCTATTCTATTCTATTCTATTCTATTCTATTCTATTCTATTCTATTCTATTATTTTTTGGTAGATTTACAAAAAGAAAAACACACACCCAATAAATAAATTTTAGAAAGGTGCAAGATTAGATGTGGATGTGGAAAGCATTTTTTTAAAAAATCAAGACTCCTTCCATACCCTCCAACATTTCTCCAATGAAAATAGGAACGTCTCATTCCATAATGATAATTTTACTATTTATACCCCACAATGGGTTGCCCCAGCCACTCTGGGCAGCTTCTAACATATATAAAAACATGATAAAACATTAAATTTTAAAAAAATATCACTATACAGGATTGCCTTCAGACTCAGGAGTCAAATAACTCCATACGCTCCAACATTTCTCTAATGAAAATAGGCACATCCTAAGGAAAAGTGGAACATTCCGATCCAATCAGAAACCGGGACGCCTTCTCTAAAGCAGGGGAAATAGGAACATTCTGGGGTCAAATTAGAAGCCAGGATCACTGTCATAATTCTGGGAGATATAATGCTAGGTTTACAACAGTGGAGCAACTGGGTCATGTGGGAGCGTTTCCAGAGGACCTGTATATTAATCCCAATTCGTTTGCAGGGAGATTAGATGGCACTGGCTGTTTAAGGAGCATTTATTCTGATTTGTTTGTGGGGAGGTTAGATTACAGTGGTACCTTGGGTTAAGTACTTAATTCATTCCAGAGGTCCGTTCTTAACTTGAAACTGTTCTTAACCTGAAGCACCACTTTAGCTAATGGAGCCTTCTGCTGCCGCCGTGCCACCGGAGCACGATTTCTGTTCTCATCCTGAAACAAAGTTCTTAACCCGAGGTACTATTTCTGGGTTAGCAGAGTCTGTAACCTGAAGCGTAGTTCTTAACCCGAGGTACTATTTCTGGGTTAGCGGAGTCTGTAACCTGAAGCGTATGTAACCTGAAGTGTATGTAACCCGAGGTACCACTGCACGTGGCAGTCAAAGCAAAATGAGGCCGTGGATATCTCCCCCAAAGTCCTATCCTGAAGGCACTGCTGCTTAGAAACTAGCCTGAAAGACCCTGAAAGACACTGTTGGTGAATCCCACCTCCTCAGCTTCCGTTTATCATCTGCATTGTTTGTTTCATTAAACATTCATGTTGATTTTTAATTGTATCTTTAATTGCTTTTTTCTTTCTTATATTGCATTTTATTGTATTGCTATCTGAACCCTATGGAATCCAAATTGTAACGTGATAACATACAAATTTACAAGAAAAGAAGAGGCAATAAAAATACAGTGAAAAATTATACAGCATCTCGTGCAGCACATTACAATTGCTACAACAGGTGAAAAAATCATGAAGGGGTCTGCCAAGATCCTCAGAAATTTTCAAGTGGTTTGTGTTGCTATGATGATCACTGATTTTAATTATTATTATCTGAATGTTTCAACTAGTTGTTTTAAAGCGTGTTTACTGTTTTTTATTATTTTCCTCTTTTTGTAAATCGCTTTGAAGTTTGTTTGGTTTTTTTTACAATCAAGCAGTATATAAATTGTATGAAGTAAGTAAAATATGTTTGTGACATATTTGAATCTTTTAGCTTCCTAAAACTTCTTGTACAGGGACGGTTTTTATAATTATTATTGGTGAAGGCCTTTTATTTAATTTTTAAATGCATTTTAAAAAAGACTACATACTTCTTTTTCACTCAGTACACATAGACAGAACTTCAAATGTTCCGAAATAAAGTTAAAAATAATAAATATTTTTAATAATGGGTAGTATTAATTCCAAACAAAAGGAGTAACATTTACATTAATGATTTTGTTTTGTTTTTCTTACATAGGGCGTTGGCCTTCTGCTTTGACAGTCTGTTTCTCTTTAAAGAGCTTTTTAAGGAAGCAGCTAAGCATTCCAGATCCTAGCATACCATACTGGGATTGTATGGATATTGCTTTCAGAGTTTGTATTGAAAATACAGTAAAATATTGCCATGTATCGGGGGGGGGGGGAGTCCTCCTTTATTTGTTGGGGAGACGTGTTAGAAGAAAATGCAAAAACCCCTAATCCAAATGCTTCAGCATGATGGTGTTTCCCAAGACAGCAGGATGGTAAGCTTGCAGAGTTTGTGATACTGTGCAGTTGCACCCTCTGGTGTCATTATGACAAAACCACAGATATTGTTGGGTCCTTACTTGTGTGCAGATCCACATTTCATGACTTAACTGAGTGGATCACACTGGGACTGATGGAAGTTGCAGTCCAAGACATCTAAAGAACATCAGGTTGGCAAAAACTGATTTAACAGTAGAGTACCTATTTAGCAGATGAAATACACATTTTATTGAAATGTGTGAAGCCTACTAGAGCTTATCTACCAACAGTATCAGCAGTGACCCTTACAAGACAGTGCTAACTTGTGTCCTAGAACTTGCAACACCATTCACAGTGTCCACCGGATTTGGATAGTCTTCCTGGCATGTTTGTTTTATATTTTGAACAGACCCCTTCTTTGCAGTCTGAAGTGGTACAGCCCAGGCATAGGTGGTGGAGGATACAAAGGAAAAATGACTGGGAGGTCAAATACGCCATGTAGAAAAATTGGATGTGGGCCAAACTACCGGTACATATCTCTACAGTAGAGATCTACCTACAATTCTATGGGGGGGTGGGGAGAGAACTCGGCAAACAGGTTTTCTAAATCAAGCCTTTTCTTCCTAAGCAAATACTGTGACAGGCACATTCAGGGTGAATGATAATAAGTCCCTATAAAGTTCTAAGAATTGTCATATGTTCAGATTACTTTTCACCACTCCCTGTCTCTGAACTCACTGTTGCAAGTTATATATACCCTGCAGTTCATCTTCATGTGCCCTAAGTGAATGAGAACTGCAAAAGACCTTGGGTTTTGCTTTGTTCTGTACTTGTGAAACTAATTTGTTATTGAAGACTAAGATCAAAGTCAAGGTTGTCAAAATTACAGGCATCAGCTATTACGATCAGCAGCGCAGGCTCACTTTTATAGCAGCCTT